CAGTTACTGGTGACTTTGCAGATTCACATAAATATTAAAAAACATAAACGATCAACAATTAAAATGTGATATACTTGATTGAGAGTATGTTAAGTAAAAACAATTTGTCCCACCTTTACCAGCTGCAACAGTGTGTTGTTAAAAAGGTTGGTATACAGTTTGCATTAATAACTACAATCCATTGTTTTTAATATGCATTACAATGAAATTATCTGTTCTGCATAATGAATAATTTTGGTACTTAAGTTATATTTTGATGTTAGTACTTTCGATTACTTCTTCCACCGCTGCAGTAAACCATGACAGTGTAACAGTGAGGCACTATGCACATTACAGGGACACTGAAACTGAAGCAGCTAAGTGAATTTAGCCATTGTTATTTTTATTATTTGCACAGTGTGCTTTTCCTGTTGTGCACTGTGAGAAATGTCTTTGAAAAAAATGCCTAAAGAAGAGGGTCCTCTTTACACATTTATACAATCGAATATATTTGCCGCAAAAGTTCATAAAAATCAGTCCTGTGTCTTTACTGTGTGAACTGTCAAACATTACATACTGTAGTAATAGGTTTTAGCCACTAGGTGGTGTTATGTTATCTGTATTGTTGCTACTTGCATTTTCAGCCAGTCTACCAACTTTTGAATGTCATGGACTGGTGAGATGAATCAAGCCTTATGCTACAGATCTGCTTGCAGCTTTTTAAAATGTATGAGGATAATATTGTAGATACTAATATAATGCAAATTCAGTGCAGAACAACATTGCATGCTCACATTCCATTATTTAATTATTTTCCATTTCATATTATATTCAGTGCATAGTATGAACAGCACAAAGCAATTGGTAAACTGTACAAATAACCCAAATATTGAACATAATAACTGCAGGGCATTTCTGTAAAATGAGCAATTTGCATGAATTTTGAGCGGGATATTTCTGCTAATATTACATCAGAGAAGAGTTTTCCTTATACTTTTGTACGATTCTCTTTCTATATCGTGTATTTTTAAAATGATTAACAGTTACACATATTTTATGGGCTTCTTTGTTTGACAAATTTAGTGCTTTCTTAGCCCTGATGCTTGGCCATTATTCTTGTAGCTTTTTGGTTGTTTCACCTGCATACTTTTCTGATGCAGGATGAGGCTGTTTAGCAGAATGAAGACTGTGAATATAGTTCGTGTTTAGGTGTTTAGGTGAAGATTAGGCGACCCTTAGTGGGGGTGGGGACCCCCAGTTTGGTAATCAGTGAGCTAATTGTTAATGGTAAGACTCTGTACCACTTTCTAAAGATGGTTTATTTGACAGGACAGATTAAGTGTGAAAAGGGGAGGGACAAGGGGGTTGACATGCAGCAAAGGGCTGCAGGATGGAATCAGACCCATGGCCTCTGCAGCAAGGACCTTGCCTTGTACATGGATGCCTGCCATATGCACTGAGCAACTGGGTGCCCTGTCTCTATACCACCTTCTAATAAGGCACTCTTTTTTAAAAAAAGATTTAAGTCAGGTAGTAAAAAATGTATTCATGCATAAAGATCCTTTAGGAGCCAATAATAACAAAAGGTTTTGGGTTGCCACGTTGTGAAAACAAACCTTTGGCTAGTTATGACTCTTTCTGTCTGGTAAAATATTATAAATAAATGTAGTAAAATGTAATAATAAATGGACTGCCACCTTCTGATAAGCTGTCATGTCAGCATGTGTATGTTACTGTTCTATTGTAAATAAATGGCTATTGTATCAGATGATCTGGCAACCAAAGTTAAAGGAATACTTCACCCACAAAAGGACCATTTGTGTGTCAATTAATCATGCCATGTTACTTTGAATTCATGAAGAAAGCTTTGTTTTTCTCGCATGTCTCCATGGTAAACGGCAAATATATTGATTAAAGGATTAACTGGGGACCATGTTTAGCGACAGCAAAATTAGCAAAAAAAGCATGTGTTTGAGAAGTAGTGAGCATATATGACTGGATAAATGAGACTTGGATTACACTGCATGAGTTGTGTTAGTTTGTAAACAGATGTTTTGATGTAGTCTTTCTGTTGTTAAATGTGGTCCCCAATCAATCACTGAATCGATATGTTCATTGTTGTGGCTGTGGAGAAAGTTTTCTTCACAAATTTTAAGGTAACATGGCATGACTAATTGATATATAAATGGGCATTTTGTGAGTGAAACATTCCTTTAAGTGGTCTGACAATTCAGTAGAGAGATCCTCCTGATAAACATGTGTACCCGTTGTAAAGGGTACCTTAGAAAATAACAAACTCATATCAGTAGATGAGAGGAGTAAGGGCTCACACATGCAGACACATGTGAGACAAAGAGAGAAAAGACACACATAGAATTGAGAGAATGACTGTGAGGAGGCAGGCAGAGAGGAGGATGTGATAGTGTATTGCCTCTGTGGGTCTGAAGCCAGAGGAAGAGGATTTAAGGGTGCTTTGGTTCAAGCCAGAGGGAGGGAAGAAAGGAGGGAGGTCACCGCTGCCCCAGATTTGGAGGTGCCACTGTCTGGGGAGAGATTGATGGCTGCAAGCAACAGATAACAGCTTGCAGTGTGAAGGGAGATTAAAAAAGAAGGCATAGATTGCAGGAAAAGCCAGACCCCACCCGTGTGGGGCTGTGCTGAACAACTACGTCTGATTCTAACACACTGCAATTAGCTTCTGAGGCAATTACAGGTCTGTGGAGGGTAAATGTGAGCTTTTTTTATCGCACAATATGTTGGAAGGTATCATTTATCCTACAGAATATGTGTTTGTAGCAGAGCTGTGATCGGAACTGGTTGTTTTAAAAATTTGAGTCATTTTATATAAGAATTCAGGGGTCTTATAACATTTAAAATATCAGTACAATTTGCCCATATGGACACACAAAAGGCATATTTACTCTAATTGCCACTCCATCCTTGTCTAAGTATTGGTGTGACAGCCACCCAGCTGATCAGACCCCCGCAATGCATCCTGCCTGTTTCCCACGTAGCCCATGAGCAGTCCATCACAATGCCATTGTTATCCATCAGATTGTCTGCAGTCATTACTTATTCACCCAGCCGTCATGCCTTTTGTCCAAAATCATTCCTCACTCTGTCCCTAAGACCTTCTCCTGCCTGCTGAGGCCCATCTGCCCCCCCACACCGTCTGACACACACACACTGACACGCAGAAACTCTTCACGCCAGCTGTCCGGCTCGTGTCCCCTGACAGTAAAGGGTGCCGGCCCTGAAGCAGACCATCAGAGTACACAAGAACGACAGCCTGTTCCCTCTACCAATGACATTTTAAACACTGAGGAAGCCATTTTCAACATCAGTATTATTTGAACAGTGTGATCAACACAAACGTGTACACATACTGCTTGGTAAAGACTCATACAGAATGTTTTATCATTCTATAGTATGTATCAATATATGTCAGCACCATCTCATCCTGAATGACCTAGATTTATATATATTTATTATTTTAAAAAGCACATGCAGTTTAATTCAAATTAAAGGAGCAGTGTGTAAGATTTAGGGGGATTTAGTGCCATCTAGTGGTGAGGATTGCAGATTGCAACCAGCTGAAACTTCACCCGGTTCAAATGGTTTTTACCGAGTTATCCACAGAGGTCTCCTCCTCTCCAAAAAAAACGAACCTGGTGATTTAGACCAGTAAAAACACTGAATAAACCAGTTTCCCATTCTAATCGCAAAAAGGTTTGCTAACTACGGTGACTGATACAAAGCCGCAAATAGTCCTTTCTACAGCCAGTGTTTGGTTTGTCCATTCTAACCTACTGTGGGCAATGCAACATGGCAGTCTCTGTGGATGAGGACTGCTCCCTATGTAGATATAGACAGCTTATTCTAGGGTAACGAAAACACAACAATTCATATTTTCAGATGAATATTCACCAAAGAAAACATACTTATTATATTCCATTTCTGCCAATATATCCCCTTAAATCTCACACTGGAGCTTTAATTATGTCTTGCTGAAGACTTTGCCCTTGGCCCTACATAGCCCTACTTGTAAGCCCTTCAGTGTTTATCAATAATTATTACTATAAATAGGGCATGCTTTTAGACACCCATACCAACCGACTGTCCTACAGAGAGCCACGAAGTGTCCTTTAATGTTATTTTTCAGGTGCCACTGCCAAGATAGCTGAAATATTTATTTAAGAAGAAGGAAGTAAGAAGCCATGCCAAATACTCGCTTAAAAATAGACAGCAGTCATTGATGGAGGTATATAAATAGACAGGAGGAAAGGGGGGGCTGGTCCTGGGCGGGGATATTTATAGCACAGGCACACTGCTGTTTACTGGCGGCAGCAGCCAGGGGTGCACTTATCAATAACACCATAAAACCCCAAATACCACTGAATGCAGTCGCCTCCCTCATCCAGTTCTGGAAAGATGCATCTGTGATGAAATGAAATCACTTTTATGAGGGGATAAAAGGGGATTATTCCCAAGGGTCTTCTATTCATGGAAAAGTTGGATCACTTTTCAGTCTCGGCATATCTCTGATTACAACATTTTTTCCATTTCTTGCCTCTTGAGTTGGGTGTATGTGGAATAGATGCATATAACAGGGTTTAAATCACTGATACTGAAGGGGACACATCATTTTAAATAATGTGAACATAGGCTACTGCATCTGAATTAGTAATAAAAGCAAATTGACTGGAGCTGTAAATGTAGTTTATTAGAGAGAATGCTTATATAGTTGCATTTTAGTTAGCTGTATAATTGGTGAACCCTACATTTAAAAGTGTAAGGGGCTTGAACATTATCTAATGCATCTCTTTTCCTGTTTGATAATGTTTAATTTATTGTTGGTGCTATAATGTGTGGGAAAATACAGTTGTCTTAACAGAGTTGGTTGATGCAGGTGGAGGACAGACCAGCTGACTGGAGGAGGAGGTGGAGGTGGAGGAGGAGGAGGAGGGGCGGACAGACAGCCTGGCTGGAAGGCAGAGGAGCTGATCCAGTCCGACAGACGGCCAACTTGATCGGAGTGAACCTACGACGCAAGCCGCCGCTGCTGCTGCTGAGTCCCCGGCAGCGACCAGCCACCCGTCGGTCTGGGAGTCCAGCCAGCTAAGCTAACTAGCTAACTTAGTCGTTGTTATAGGAACGACAAACTAGTACTGTAGGCAATTTGGGGGAATTAACCCAGGCTACTGTGACTAATTGTTTAAGTTGTAATATAAAATGTCTATATTACCGTTCACTCCTCCAATCGTGAAGAGGCTCCTGGGCTGGAAGAAAGGAGAGCAGAACGGGCAGGAGGAGAAATGGTGCGAAAAGGCTGTCAAAAGTCTGGTGAAGAAGTTGAAGAAGACGGGACAGTTGGACGAGTTGGAGAAAGCCATCACAACACAGAATGTCAACACGAAATGCATAACCATACCCAGGTAACGACACAGACAAAGCTAGCTGGCTGCCTTGTAGTTAGCTAAGCTGGCAAGCTAAGGCTGATGACAGCTAGCTTAGGTAGCTACTTAGCATGCTAGTTAGCTTGAGCTAATATTATTAGCATAGCGCTTTAATATTGAAACATTTTTCTTTGTTAACGTGTTAACATTATCCTTGACAGGTTAATTACCAAGTTCATTGATTAGTAGATAAAAAGTGTGATGCTGTGCAGTGGGGTTTGATTGCATGGGTAGTTAGCGTTAGCTGCTAAGGTAAAAACAATCCTGCATAGTGAAGCTAGCATTAGCTGATCAATGCAAACTTCACCTGCTTTTCAGCTTATATTTTGTTGTGCAAACAGGCACCATATAGTTGGCATTTTATCAGTCTCACGTACCGATGCATGGCAAACTATGTGACGTCTATAGTGCTATAAATGCTAGTTAACGTTACTGTTTTAAGTCTATGTTATATTGTTAGTTTGCATAATTAGCATGATAACCTAACTGAAATGTTATAATTGCATTGAAATAGATGTGTCTCTCAAATTCCGGTGCAGGTTTGAAAAATGTCCCAGCACCTGCTGACATGGTAGCTGTGGTACATCTAGTGCTGCATAAACAAGCATGTCTTCAGTTCACACGTGTGATGAATAGGAGAAGAAGGGGTGGTTTGGCTCAGCATAGCTGTGACTCATAGAGGATGTTTAGACTGGAGTGTGTGTACTCTGGGAAAGTTGGAATAAGGGCTCGGTTTGGGATTCCCCATATGGGATACCCATCTGTCCAAAAAGACCAGTAACTCAGTTAACTGACATGTGAGGTAGATGCGGGACTGTGCACACACACTGTTGTATTCTCAGTGGTCTGAATGAGTCACAGGTGTTAAATCAAATGTTTTCACTGAGTTGGACGTGGAAGCAAAATATTGTGCAGTTTAATTACTTTAGTTGTTGGATGCTGTCTTCTGTGAAACTGTAAGTGAGTCAGGCTTGAATATTTATTTCCATCTGTTGTCCTGTCCAGCTGTGAATGTAACCTTATATAAAATGAAAATTGTTACTAAAAAAACCAGTGATGACTCGGATAAGAGACACAACACAGAGCGCACCGTAAATACATTACACAACTTCTTATTTCATTTTTTTATTCTTTACTCTTTGTTCCTACATAATATAAATAAGGTAGGTACACATCTTGGCCCAGCTGATAATAGGCTCTGTAGTGGAAGCTGGAATACACCCTCAGTGACTTCTTTAATTGTTACGCATCCTTCAAAGTTTATTAGACAGCTTGTAGCCTAATTGCTAATGAAACCATGAGTCCCCCATCGTGGTCTGTGTAGAAGTCAGAGAATGGGTGTTAACCTATATGAAAAAGTTTCTCTCAATTCTTGGGAATGTGCTCCAGGCTCTAGGGAGGGCGTGGGCCACTGTTTGGATTGTGGTTTAATCTTGGTGGGTTCAGAGACTGTAAGTTTACGGAGCAACAGCTGTCTTGCTATCTGTTGGGAATACACAGATTCACTCAAAGTGTGTGGTATGTGTCATAAATGTGAGGCGACCAGATTCCCCTAAAAGCAGTGTTGTTACCATTTTCCACGTGTTTCTCCTAATATGCAGGAACAGGGCAGTACACACTGTTTAATGTGTAATGTCATTAAAAGTGCTGACTGGTGTTGGCTCTGAGACCAAACTCTTTAACAGGAAGTGGTTTCTCTCCCACTCACTGTCAAATGATAAGAGATGCTACACTGGTGTTGAGATGCCTGTGAGTCCTTGGCTGGCTGCTGCACAGTTGTTGTTTCTTCTGGTGGATAAGAGGGTTGTGTCAGTCTAGCGGGGTGTCAGAGTGATCATCATGTCTGAGTGGCAAATCAGGGAGACAGGACATAGCCCAGGCCAATCTCAGCAGAGTCATAGGGGCAGTGCTGGAAGATGAGTCTGAGCCCTCTCTGTAGAGGTGGTCATTGATATCGTCAGAAAACATGGTGGTCTTAAGTGTGTGTTTGGAAGATATTTCCAACTATTTAGGTATCACACTGCTCAAATGTCACTGGTCCTACGTGTACCTTACTTTCCCATTCCCATTTAGCTTCTTTGCTTGCTGAAGGTAGATGTGAGAACTTTCTCAAAGCCTATTGTTCATCTAAATCTATATTGTACACTGCAGTATTTCAAACTTAACAGGTTGTCCATTGCTTGCTTTTGGCTGTTGATTTTGATCCATGAAACTACACAAAAGGCAGAATATATATCTTTTCATGTCATGAACCACCAGCGAGAGCTATTAGACTGAATAGCCTTATAGAGACAGCAACATCAACACACTAATGGGCCGGTCTTTATGTCTAACAACATCTGACCATGGAAATGATACAACTGTAGTATTTTATTAAAAAATTAAACATGCACCAAAATTATAAACCAGATGTGATTAGTATGCAGCATTATTTCCACTTAAATTTAAATAATAAATAAGTCTAATCCTAATGTGTCTTGAAATTTCTAGATTTTTGTCAAATGTTTGACGTCATCATCATCAGTCTAATTTAAGTGCATGATATTTGGTTTGGATACTTAAAGTTGCTTTGTTGGTCGCCTTGAACAAGCACCACCTTTACCTTTTTTATCTTGAACCCAAAGTTCCCTGTGACATACTTAAAGAATGAGAACCATATGTTTCTTGTCTGACAGCTCAACGATGGGATGAACTGTTGTTGAGTTCAGCTGGAAAAAAAGCCATCACCACACTGGACTCTACGTGAGGGGGGGTAGATCCAGGATCTGTTACAGTCCTTCCTTTCCTTTTTTAGTCATTTGAGTTTCATGGCAATATATAGGGTCTTACACCTCACAGTTAGATATGCTTTCTGTGCACAGATCAGAAAGCTCTCTATTTATACAACTACTGCTATTTTAACTTCATAGTTTCATGGTATCACATCATAATCAGAAACCTACTTTGGCCATGTTTGATATACAGTAGACAATTTTTGCATTTGATCATTAGTAAGACCAATTTCCGTAGACTTTGTAGCTAGATTTTTGTTTGTATTCTGACATTGTGTCATTTTATGATCATGTAGACATTTTCCTGACTGGTGCTGCTGTGTGAGAAGGGCTGTCAGGATTGGAAATGATAAGATGTTAATAATACTAATGCCATTATTGATTCTGCTTTTTGATCCAGTTCTTTATCAGTTCTCTAATTGGTTACTGATGATTTTTGTGTGGGGAAAGAAAGTAGGCCCACACAGGTTTTCAGTGTCAGTGCAGAGTCAAATACATGGCATTCCTGGAATTTAAGCCCATGTTGCGTGGGAGGATGTTTCAACATATTGGCGGTGTTTACACCCTTAGCTGAAATGATCATTTTACGGACATTACAAGCTGCACTGATGTCATCTTTCTTCCTGAAAGTAAGCCACGCTTTGGACTGTTCCTTCCCTCTTGGTGCAAGTTCCTTGCATGGTTGACGTATATGTTTGATGTCATTGTTTTGCAATGTGTAACTATCAGAAAAACATGGTGGCATTGATAAAAGGAATCAATAGGCTTGTAGGCATATTGTTCCATTGGGTCAGACAATTTGGAAGGGGTTCTTGAATCCCATCCCTAACAGACTGAGGAAATGGTTGGCATAAAATACTTCTTTCATGCTTAAAGTATTTTACTGCATTGAATGAAAAAGCACGATGCATAAGCAGTTTGGGAAAAAAACTGCTCAATCAAAGGCTTTGGTGTTCTGCCCTCAGTTAATGCTGTTCTATTCAGAACTAGGAAATATGTTAAAGGTTGTATCTTATATTTCAGAACCATAACTTCAGTAATAGTCAGAGCATAGAGCAAAGCAACACATTGATTAAATATAATCTGCCTGCACAATTACAGTCTTTTTGCTGGTGTCTTTCAGATCTTTAGATGGGCGTCTCCAGGTCTCCCACAGAAAAGGTCTCCCTCATGTGATCTACTGTCGCCTGTGGCGCTGGCCAGACCTGCAGTCCCACCATGAGCTGAGGGCTGTCGACCACTGTGAATTTGCCTTCCACACCAAGAAGGACGAAGTCTGCGTCAACCCCTACCACTACCAGAGGGTGGAGACGCCAAGTAAGTTGAGTTAATTGCTACATGGTCCAAATTACTGTATTTAAAATAAAGGTTCTGCCATACAGAACTGAACTGGTCCTTTATCAAAGTATCTGTGTGTCTCCAGTTTTGCCTCCTGTCCTAGTACCACGACATACAGATATACCCGCAGAGTTTCCACCATTGGATGACTACAGCCCGTCCATCCCTGAGAACACCAACTTTCCTGCAGGCATTGAGCCGCAGAGTAACTATATTCCTGGTAAGAAAAATAGTGTCATTATCTCTAAACACAGAACTTAAAAGTTTATAAATACTTATGACATGATTTGGAGAGCATTGTCTGGTTATGGTAGGCACATTTACAAGAAAAGGGAACTTGACTGTGAGCAGAAAGCTTTTCTTGGTAAATGCTGGTTGCGCTGAAATTTTTACCTCTAATGTTCAAGATACATTGCGTCACAAAAACTTGTTTTAGCAGTGGAAAGTATGTCAAAGCTTTAATATGCAGAGATCAGGAGTGTGTTCTTAATCTTTGTGTGTGTGTTTGTACTTTATAGAAACTCCCCCACCAGGGTATCTGAGTGAGGATGGTGAGACAAATGATCACCAGCTCAACCACAGCATGGACACAGGTGAGTCACATGAAAGTGCACACAACTCAAGCTCATACTGTTCTAATTATGCCTTATCTGGATCACGAACCAAACCTCCATTACCTCCCTATTTCAGGTTCACCCAGCCTGTCGCCCAATCCTGTGTCACCCGCAAACAGTAATCTTGGTAAGCAAAACCAAAGAGGTCAGCTTTAATTATAGAGCATATCATTCATTATGTGTACTTTTGCGGTTGGTAGCAATGACATTATGTGAAGTATGATACTGCTCATGCAGTACCATGGCGTTTTCCCAACAAACTGTCATATATTATCAAAGTACAAGTATAAGTCATCCATTTTCTATGTTATGTTGTTTTACATATACTTGCTTATATCATCATCATTTAGCATCAGATTTTTACATCAGTGCCAGAGGCATTATGTTTTTAGGTTTGGGTCAGTACATCCCAATCTCGTGAATGTGATATTTGAGAACGCCTTGAGGGAATTTCCTCAGATTTGGCACAAACATCCACTTGGACTCAATGATGAACTGCTTAGATTTTGGCAGTCAAAGGTCAAGATCACTGTAACCTCGTGTCCGTCTTATTCTTGTGAATGTGATATCTCAAGAATGCCTTGAGGGAATCTGTTTAAATTTGGCACAAACATTAACTTGGACTCAATGATGAATTGCTTAGATTTTGGCAGTCAAAGGGCAAGGTCACTGTGACCTGGTGTCCATCTTATTCTTGTGAGAGATCTGAAGAGGGCCTGGAGGGAATTTCTTTGAATTTGGCACAAACGTCCACTTGGTCTCCACTTAAGCCACATTTGAAGCTTTGTCAGCTGCCATGGCTACATATGAGCCTGGACAGATAAGGATATAAGCCTGACTGTTTTGTAGAGGCGTACAACCATGAGGTGGTACTTCTAGTTTAAGTATGAAACTGGTTTCACATTAAATTTGCACACTTTCTTTGAAGCTGTTTATCTAATCTAATTTTGTTTTGGTTGCACAAACCAAGGAACACAAACACCAAGCCTTTTAGCTAAACCACTGAAGCCCGAACTGTAACTGTCATTACCTACAATGAAACTTTGTGCATTCATGTAAAAAGTCAGTAAAAAGTGTGTGGGTATACTGTCCTGCTACTGGAAATGAATGAAAATTAGGCAGTCAGAATTGAGAGACCTCAGTGGCCATGGTATAAATTAGAATTAATGTTGAGGGTGCTCTGATGGCTCGGCTGGCTAAGGCACATAGTGTATACCATGTGTGTTACTGTGTTGTAGATGTGACAGTAAGAGCAAACATGTAGAATCAGTACTGTAGACCTTTTACTCTGAATCACCCTGCAACAAAGGACCCATCCCCATGTGACTGGACCCGATGACCCAGTGATTGTACTACAGAGCACATGTCTTGTCCTGTCGTGTTTTGCAAAGGATTCATCCTTACTAGGAGGATAGCTTTAATCTGCAGCAGAACCGTATTAGACATGTTATCTGAATACCACCTTCCCCTGATTTTACTTGTGGACACGAACAAGTCAGTAAACCAAAAATTGCTGGTATCTTATTGATCTTATTGGTGCTGTTCATATGAAGTCAGATTAGAATTTCTTTGTGGGGGTGAGCATGTGTGTGAGAGAGAGACAGATGAGCAATATGCAGGAGCATTGGGCTACGTCTGGGAGGCTTAGCCTCAGGGCAGTAACAGAGTAAGTGTGGTATGAATGGAGTCTTTGTCCTCATCTGTGTGTAGGCCAGAAACAGACATTTCAAGGTAATGCAATAATAATAATATCCGGTTGCCAGGTTATTCTATCTATGTGGAAAGCCACCAGGAGGTCAAGTTTAAAAAAATAAATACACACGTCATGTCTTTGCCATTCCTGGCCGGGACCATGAGGGTCGTGGGAAAAGAGCTTTTGTAGAGAAATCAAAGGGAAACATTATCAGCTGTTTGCACCTTCTCAGTCAAATGGTTGTTTGGCCACAAAGCAGTACCTGTTCTCATGAGTTCTTTAATTTTTTCTCATGGACTGAACTGGAATTTCTCAGCTTATGTCTCTCCATCTAACCCCCATCCTCTGCTCACACAGACTTACAACCTGTGACATACTGCGAGTCTGCCTTCTGGTGCTCCATCTCCTACTATGAGCTGAACCAACGTGTAGGAGAGACCTTCCATGCGTCCCAGCCCTCCCTCACAGTGGATGGATTCACAGACCCATCCAACTCTGAACGCTTCTGTCTGGGCTTGCTGTCCAACGTCAACCGCAACTCAGCAGTAGAGCTCACGCGCAGACACATAGGTACTCATTTTATCTCACAGGGACTACGCACGCTTTGAGCTAATTTGCCTTTTATATTTGCACTTGACATATAATCAGCAGGTAGCTGTGTGCTGAGCAACAGTCGTCTCTCTTCCCTTTCCAGGACGGGGCGTGAGGTTGTACTACATTGGGGGAGAGGTGTTTGCAGAGTGTCTCAGTGACAGTGCCATCTTTGTTCAGAGTCCCAACTGTAACCAGCGCTACGGCTGGCATCCTGCCACTGTCTGCAAAATACCTCCAGGTTAGCATAAGAAGATACACGCAAACACATTAAGACATCAGAGGCAACATGACCAGAGCATTAACTGAGTTCTGATGCCCCGCTGACACTGACCTTTTTTGTCCTCACTGCTTTTAAGCTGAACTTTTTTTTTCCTTGCAGGCTGTAACCTGAAGATCTTCAACAACCAGGAATTTGCTGCACTGCTCGCCCAGTCAGTCAACCAGGGCTTTGAGGCCGTCTACCAACTCACCAGGATGTGCACTATTCGCATGAGTTTTGTCAAGGGTTGGGGAGCTGAGTACAGGTAATTAAATACAATTTAAACAAATGTAGACAAGTATGATTATTCAGAGTATTTTTTTACATTTACATATTATTGGCTGTATATGTGTATATCAGGGGTGATTGCTCTGAGACAACAAGGGAGGCTGAACTTCCCCTAAAATTTCATCGACATTAAAATAAGAATTTACATTGCATTAAACATGCGCTAGGATGTGTTTAACATCATGACTATGGTGTTCAGACGTCAGCCGTTTACCACCAGTTTTCAAACGCGACCTCCTTGTCATACATCCTCGTGTCAGCACAGTGGATGCAGAGCCTCCAAGCATTCCTATGAGACAGCGCTGAGCAGGTTTTTTTCATGCAGCAAAGCGAGACGGTCATTGGATAAATGCTACAAAATCGTCACTTCCAAGGAGGCTCAGCTTCCCTGGGACCTAATGGAGCAGTAGGCGGGAGAGGATGCTCAGTGTATGCATGATGATTGGAGGAATTGTCTAAAAGGCTGAACCCCTTTGTGATTGACAGCGCTTCGCATTTCGAGCTCAGTCCCATATTTGCAAGTGTAGTCTTCTGACAGAGTGCCGCCCGGAGTTCCTTATTTCCATAAGTGATATAGCTCACTTTCACCGTTTGAACAGTAGAGTTCAGGTGTTTAAACCCATCTGAAAATCTTTGAGGTGTGTTTTGCTGTGGTTCTATAGCATGAGTGTGGTTGAAAAACGGCTTTTATAAGTTACTGCCTCGCTACAATATGACAAATTTTATGATGTAAACTTAAAGTGAGCTTCCCCTGTTTGAAAGACCAGCAGCCACCGAAAGAGGGCATAATGGACATTGAAGTGTTTGCCGTGATCAAAAGAAAATGGTGATTGTTGTTAGTTGTTATGATGACAACACACCAGTGTGGTCATAAAGTGTGTCACACTCACAAGTTCTGGGAACTCTGTTTTGGCCTATTCTCACACACATTTCGCCTATTAAACAGAAAAATGCAACCACACACCAATCAAAGTTTCTCTCTTTCACCGAACTAAGACGTTACATATTTGCTTTGTTAACTTAAAATCAAACACACTTGAGAGAAAACAAAATAAAACTCACCAAAACTTAGTCATTGAGTTAGTTAGTCTGCTATTCCAGCAAACACCAACTTTGGTTTGGTCGGAATAAACCCTCTTTTCACAGAGTTAGATGTGAAAACGTGCTGATCTGTACGCTTTGCATCCTCGCAGTCTCTTGTTCACGAAGCAGCAGCTCTCCCTGGTTCTTTGGAGGCAGCTATAGTTTTAGTTTACGTGTCAACATGCAGTTATTGGCAACAAAAGAAACAGAGAAATAACACTTATGGTAATCTTTTAGATGTACTTCATTGCTCGTTAATTCGTCACCACAAAACCTCAGCTCAGTGAGTTTGGGACTGCAAGTCGATTTGTTTATACTAAAGTGTATACATAAGTTAGCCCGTTGCAACAGTTGCAGTGGCAAAAGTACATGTATAGACTCGGGTTATCCTGCTTCGTTAATTCGAATGGCAATGTCTGTTCTACTCTCATTCTATTCAGTGTCACAGTTAAAGGCGTAAAAATGACAAATGGTGAAAGGGGCAACAGTGGCTCAGAGGCAGAGCAGGTCGGCCGTTAATTGGAAGATAGGTGATCTAATCCCTGGCTCCTCCAGTCTGCAAATTGAAGTATCTTTGGGCAAAATACCGAAACCCAAACTGCTCCATCGGTGTGTGAGTGCGTGTGAATGGTTACTGAGTAGCAGGTGGCACCATGCACGTTAGCCTTGACCACCAGCATTTTACTGTGTGTGTGTGTGTGTGTGTGTGTGTGTGTGTGTATGTGAAGGAGTGAATGTGACATGCAGTGTGAAAGCGCTTTGAGTAGTTGGAGGACTGGAAAAGCACTATTTAAGGCATTGGAGAGGTCGACCAGTTTATGTTCAAGTAGTTGCTAAGACAAATATATATTATACTGTTTGCTAAAGATGCCATATAAGAGGGATTCAAATTTTAACCATTTTAGTGAGGTAAGTTTCACTATAAGAAAAAACATGTCAATTCAGTATTTCTTACTTTTACAATTTAATTCTTATACATATTGACTGGCAGATTCTAGACTTACAATCGAGTGAACAAAAAACCTGAGAACAAACATTTAACTGACCCAGCAAATGACTAGCCTCCTTATGTCACATAGCTTTTTTCCTTTCTTCTCTCACACGGTACTGTGTTCTTGGATAAACACTGAGTGGATGTTGAGGGAGGCTGTCAGGTCTGAGTAATCCCGAGGGTGTGGGAGGGGGACTGAGAATTTTAAGGGGGGGTCTTAAGTGGGCCCTCTGTGAACTAGCTTCTTTCTGCTCAGGGCTCTTCTCTTTGTACAAGATGTCATTTTGCAGACACAACAGCACATAAAGCTGTTTACAGCCAAAACCAGACACTGCATACCTTTACCTTCTCACTTCTTGTTTGTCGCTAGTTGTGTAAAAAGCCCATCCAGAGTTAAGTGCTCAATTAGCTGATTTTATTTCAGCTTTCCGAGGTGGAATAAAGCACCTGCCTTAGCACACGGGCCATATGCTGTTGTCTCTGTCCCAGCCTGTTTAAAGTTTTAAGGGTTCATCACTTTTGTTGTTTTACCTGAGTCTGTTTCACTACACACATTTAAGACACAAAAGTTTCATTGAGCTGTGCACCCCCAAATTTAAGAAGGAAACGTGTGTATGATCAGAATAATTAATGTCACTTTTGGGGGATAAAAAATGAATGGGTGCTGTGCTCAGACGGTAGCAGACTTGGAAGAGGAAAAAGAAGGTGATGGGGGAGGGTGCTGCTGTGAGTCGGCAAGAGAGGGTTGAGTAACAGAGAAAGAATGCGGCAGGCATGCATTCGTGAGGGGGACATGGAGTGGGAGGTGAACACATTTCAGACACCCTTTGCAAGGGGGATTCCCACGGACTTTGAGTGGTGCGTGTTATATTTCTGGCACCAAACACCTTGGAGGAAAACATCTCTGATAGAAACTTGAATGACTTCAGAAATAGCTCACGGAGTTGGCTTCAGGGTCGGTGCTAAGTCAGCTTAGACAAGAAGTACTGAGTAGAGTGTATCTTTGCCTCGCCTGTAATGAAGTTACATTAATAATGACAAGGATTTTAAATGAGTAGTTTGATGATGTATGAAATTCTCTCATTAGTATCACACTATGTTGCCCCTTTCCTTCTCTGCACCCCACAGACGTCAGACAGTGACCAGCACCCCCTGCTGGATAGAACTGCATCTCAATGGCCCTTTGCAATGGCTGGACAAGGTCCTCACACAGATGGGCTCTCCCAGCATCCATTGCTCCAGCGTGTCCTAGGAGCAGCACATACCTCCCGGAAACCCTCCTTTCCATCCACACACATACACACAAACCACATAGGAGAACTCGAGCGTCTCTCAGTGATAATAAGGAAAGAGACGCCATTCATCAAATCAACACATCACTGTCCTCCTTCGCTGTCTCTAACATTTCACCTCACATCTATAGCACTTTGCTCACTACCATTTAGTGTCTCCATTCGATGGTTATTTTAGGACTTTTACATTGTTTTTTTTTTTCATGTGTTCGACGGGCAGCCACAGGGTATTTGCAATAGGTTTCAAAAGACTAACCACATTTTCGTCATTATTCATTCAGACGTCATGTCTATGCTCAGTGTTGTAATTTGTTGTTTTTTTTTATAAAGAGGATTGCAATGTTTGTTCCCCGAGTTGAAGTTATGGTACAGCTTCAGCTTGGCCACCTTTTTACATGTTTCAAAACATTTTTGATTCTATGAATTAGCTGAAATTCGCTCTCATCACTGGTGTTTCAGTGTCCCAGTACCACTCTTTGTAATCACTGAATTAGGAGGCTTATTTATCAATTGAACTATAAATTAACATGAAAAAAAAATCATTCTGAGTAGTGATTAAATAGAATATATTTAATTAATATCTTAAGTACAAGGTACTTTGCCCATATTGATTTATCTGTATGAATTAAAGTGTCAATTATCTGATTGATCATGTAATTGGTATTTTATCTATTTAAAAAAAAAAAAAATAGACCTTAGCACCATTGTTTCTTGAAAAAAGAACCCTTGTATGAAAACTATTTTGCTCAGTGAAAGAGACATTTTATAAGTTATTTTTGCATACTGTCCTGCATGGGAATATATTTTTTTTATTGCCTCAATATGATTGTACATAAATATTTATAGCTTGTGATTTCTTGTAGTCATGCAGTGCTTGAAACAGTGGACCTGACTGACCTCTGGCATGAGTAGATTCACAAAAAGACTTTGCTTTAATGACCCCAAACTTGGCCTGCTTAAATGCAGGCTTTTCTAACCTGGGTCAACTGGTTCTTAAGTGTGACACATAGGATTACTGTACCAGCTATTACTGTTATTTCATAATAGGGACGTAGAGTATGACATACAGTGTGAGTGATCGTAGTGGACTGGACCTCAGTGAGAAGGGTACTTGCTAGTAGCAACCATGGCTTTGGTTCATCCATTGATGGCATGTAGAGTAAAAACATAAATGCAGATCTTTTCACATATTACCAACTGTTAGCCGATAGTACACTATGCTCCTCGTGGGTAAATGATGCACTTCCAATTTACTGTGTTGATCAGTGTAAAGCTTTAGTTCTAGTGGTATTTTGCTTGTCCAGTAAAGACTGTATATTACATGTACATTGCTACAATATAAAGCATGTGTAATATGCTCGCTGTCCTTGGTCATTGTCTATGAAGCCACCATGTTTATCCTGCACTTAGTTACAGTACATAAGACTGAGTCACCATGTAATTTAATTAAAACAGTTAACACAGTGCTTAACTGAAATACTGTGTACCACAGTGCGTTAGGTAGTTGGTAGATCTGTATCAGTACTTGTGTTTCTTGATATTCTTAGTTGGTGGTTTTCTGTTCCAAGTCTTATGTACATGTTTTTTTTTTTTCATGTAGCCTAATATTTGTTCTCAAATGACCATTGTTTTGTTATCTGTGACAATTTAATAAACTGCAACTGAGTAAAAAGATTCCAAGTCAGTGTTTCTTCTTTAAAGTGTGACTCATTAATACGTGACTAAAAAATAGAAACCCCTGTACATGAATGCAAATATTACCATCCTGAAATAAATGTGAAACTGTCAGAGGTGATGAGTCTAGGGTGTCTACAGGTGTCAGGTATCATATGGTTATTAGTAATTGAGTATTTTGCCAACATCCATTTTCAACCGCTTACCTGAAGCTGGGTCATGGGGGCAGCAGGCTGAGCAAAGTATTACAGATGCCCCTCTCCCCAGCAACGCTTTCCAACTCCTGGGGGATCCAGAGGCATTGCCAGACTCGACGAGATATATAATCCCTCAAACATGTTCTGAGTCTGCCTCGGGGCCTCCTACCAGTTGGACGTGCCTGCAACACCTCTAATGGTGGGCGCCTAGGAGGCATTTTGCTAACACCTAAGTGTAAAGTAAAAGACAGTATTTGGTTCAGTGGTAGGCTAAAGATATGCAACATCAGAAATAAGGACTTTTCCTTCTAAGAACTTGACTCATTTTGACAAAAAAGTGATAAATGTGAGTAGATTAAGACTTCACAAATTCAAATTTAAGACTAGTTAATGACTTTTAAAGCCTAATATTTATAATACTGACTTTAAGACTTAATAGGTTCCTGCAGACACCCTGGATAAATCAAACCTCAACCAATTTTTGAGGCTGTAGTTTGTGGTGGTATTTTGTTTAATGGCATATTGTAAAGTGTGTTTTTTTGTTAACATTTCTGCTCCTCTGCAAATGTAATGGAGAGACAAAATATTTCAAACACCCTTCGGTATAATGTTGTCCAACACAGCACAGGAACTGAACATTTTATTTATTGCAGAGGTGCTCCATTGCAGCATACAGGTGTTCCTATTTTTCCGGTCTGCATATCTTTCTTGATGAGCATGAAATGTGCTGCACATAGTGCAACAGTCTTGTGGTCACAATAAATACACAAGAGGCAAAAAAATAAAATCACAAGTCTTTATGTTGATTCAACAGAATATGCATTAAATGTCTTCTAAGGATAAGGCACATTATGTCACTTGCAAATATATGTGACAACTGTACCTAAGGGACATACACATACGTTATTTTAATTCCTTTTTCCACCTGTGACGTCATCCTGTGTTGAGGTTCACTCGGGGGCTTATGGCAGAGTGAGGGACCCAGGGGAGAACACTGAGGGTCAGGGCCATCTGCAGGATCTCTTCTCTCCCTAATCATGATATCTTCTCACTATACACCGGTATTGCAATCATTTCATTTAAAGAATCAAAAGTTTCTAAACATGACTGTGCCTACAGCACCATCTGTAAGCATCTCCACTTTCCAGGTGCAAGAAGCAAGTCAAAGGGCTCTGGATCTTGTGGGAGGCCCAGGATAGGAGGAGGGCCAGGAGAAAAGAGAATGAGTCACAGGCAGCTACTTTTAGCTCTCCTCACCCGATGATATCCCGTCTATCTCATCATCATCACCACCGATGGCCATCCAAAACGCTTTTGCTACCTGGAAAGTAGATAAGTGTAAATACTCGATACAAGACTTTAAACATATTTACCTACACAATTTACTGAGCCAATCGAGGATTCAGTCTGAGACACAGCTACTGAAACGTGCTCCAACAATCAGATTTGTTTTAAAACTATTTCATGACAGATGATACATTTTTTGATACAACCAGGATCCACAGATTATGAACATGAACAGGTCCTAGTCTTGGTGTCTTGTAACCAGAGGTGAATACAGTTACTTACCTTCTCTGCATGAACCTTTCTCTGCTCGTGAGGCAATGAAGAAGCTTTATCTGCAGGTGGAAAATCAGAGACAAACAAAACATCATAAATGGCGTCAGCAGAGGGAATATTTGACAACCACAGTGAGGTATATGCACACATCCAAGGTGTGCATTCACTTCACATTCCCCAATTACCTTTCATCTCTTTCAATTTGGTAAAGAGACGTTCAAAGTTATCCACATCTGCATCTCCAGCTGTGAGATTAGCAAGTTCCTGAATGTCCAAATCAGTCATTGCATCTGAGAGAATGAAAACAATTGAATATTAATGACTTCACATTAAATGTCTTCTCCACATTTATTAAAATATCCATGTTTTGGAGGGAAATGATGGAGTTGTTCACTTACCAACTACTGTGTCCTGCTGTGTGTCTGTGTTGGCACTGCTTTCTGTATGGTTAGCATCCTCAGTAACAAGTGAGCCCTCTACTGGCAAGCTGGAAGACTGCTACAAAAAGGAGCTAGGGTTAACATGCCTCATTGAAACCTTACAAATTTTAAATCTCATTTAAATATAGATGTATTAATGATGCATGAGAGGGAAGTAAAAACAAGACAAGTTATGAATAAAAACTGAATTACAATCAAAATAAATGAAAATGGTTACATCAAACTGTAACTGACCGGTGGCTCTTGTGGAGAGCTGTGTGGGTTGTTGTGTCTGGCAGCCACCAAACTACTCATCAGACCAAAGCCCTGATTGTGGCCTATCAGACAGAGATATAAACAGTCACATACCAGACACACACACTGATAAATTACGTAGACAGGGGAAAGTGCAACAGGTAATTGTACTGATCTCATCTCACCGTCCTTCATCTCCACACTGGACCACACGTTGGCATTGAGAGCCTGGACAATTCTCTTTACTCCGGTGGATTCTGGAAAGTCATCTGATGAGGCAGCAAAGACGGTGTAGATAAGAACAAAATGTGACAAAAGCTGAAGCATGAAAATAAATGTATGCAGTGTCACTGGAATTTCTCTTCTCTGGAAAACTTACCATCCTCATCTGGCAGCTCTTGTGGATTGAGCTCCACCAGCTCAAAGGCATGAGACAAACACCACTGTTGTGCAGCATGTCTAGTCACCCCTTGAACACAAAATACATTTGACATTCAATATAGTACCCTGGACAATTGTTTTGCAATCTAATGGAAACCATAAAGAGCTGAAGCACGAACCATTCTCGCAGACTCTGTCACACACCAGAATGAGCACCTCTGGAGCAAGATCTTCCACCACTGATATCCAAGGTTGTAGCTTCTCCAGACCATCCTTCTGCAAACACCATGCACACATAGTAAACGCATGCACATGTATCACAGTCTATAGATTCTCAACTTATGCTCATTTGAAAGTCACGTACCACTGTACTGTCAAAATAAGCGATGAAAGCCTGCATGGACTGGGCAATCTCCGATGACATTTGAAAAGTGCTTGGTACAACACATAGTCTGACATCCGCTGTGTAGTATTTGTTGTTGATTGTCCATGGATACCAGACTACTGTTTCTTCTCGCTTGATCGGCTCGGGTAAAGTCTTTGAACTGAGGATCTCTACGGCAAAAACACGTTTGTTATTAATCACACACACAAGTTAAGAGACACTACGTTTAGTGAAACAACTTGCTTTCACTGTGACCACCGGTTAGCTGCTGAAATAAGATGCACATAACCTCCTTCAGCTCTACTATTGTGGTTTTTAATTCACCTCCACAAAAATAAATCACTAACTAGCTTTTTAACCGCAGACAAATTAGTCATTAACCTGGATTAGCAACATGCAGGCGCTACTAAATGTAATCTACTGTGCTAAAAGGAAGTTAGCTTTGTTTAGCGTTAGCCTGCTTGCTAAATCATGCACGTAAAGCTTTGTCAAACTCACGTTTTATCAGCTCTTCTTCTTGAAAACCACTGTCAGAGCTAGTGATGACCACACATGGAATTGTCACTTCTGTGTCTTCTTCTGTAGCTGACATGTTGATGTTAGGACAAGCTTCTCTAACTGCTAGCTTGACGTGACGTTAACTTTGATAACCTTTCAACTCTCACTGAGCCGCTGCGGTGATCTCTTCCGGTGTAACGTTACCCTGAAGAAACAGGGCTTAAAGCGTATTTAATAACGCCTTTTGATACATTTATGTACATTGTTATTAGATAATTTATTCTTGTATTCCAGATGTTGAAAATGTAATTTGTGTCTACGGCAACACTGACAGTAAATGCGCTTCGCGTACTCAAATGTTGTATCAATGTGGGGGTTATTCCCTAAATTTTACCTTTCAGGCAAAGCGCCCACTCAAACGCTCCGCCAGTAAATTACTAATAAATGTTTACGTTAACGACTACAGTGAGAAACAAGTTGGGCCATGGTTGGTTTATTTATAAGTTTATTGTAACGAAGAGTAGCCGGTAATTTGGATGGACTGTCTGACAGTTCGTACTCGGGGAAGCAAACACAACTGGTCAACTTCTCGTTGTCATGGTGACAAGTACTGTTTGAAGGCCTTTGATTGATGAGTGGTTAGCTTATTGCTTACAGTAGTTAACGTTAGCTATTACATGTCGTCATTATGATATTGTGACATATGTTTGAGTCAAATTATAACTATTATTATAATTTTACAAAAAAATGTCTGACACGCTTAAAAATGTAGAGAAATTGGGAGAAGTTTTCTTTCAGGTAATGGCTGTCTTAACCTAACGTTACTTTACTAGATAATAGCCTACTCAGCGCTAGGCTTTAGCTAATTGCTAGCTAGCTAATTTCGCAGTTAGCTCAAGTTAACAAGTTGGCTAAGTTAACATATGACCACAATGCAGACAGTAGCTAAATGTTTCATGAACTTTAAGCCTAATAATTCTTAATCTTTTAAACCTCTAGAAAGAAATTTAGATAAACTAAAGCATGTGTTGCTCACCTCAAATGTTAATTTACCTCACTCTGTATTTGGTCACAGGCTTTTCATAGCACTCCTTATGGTAGAAATACAAACATTAATATCGAGAATTTTGTCACGAAGTCACGCAGTGTATGAGATCCCATAAAGGGACTAAGGGTCAAGGTTGTATGTACATCACAGACCATTGTATTACAGGTTCAAGACGATTTGAGAAAACTCAGATGTAGTCTCAAGAACATCACTATCGATGAGGAGGGAAAAACACTGGACATTCAAACTTTGGATGCTGCCATTGACAAGACAGAGAGTAGCATCAGGGTAAGGATGCTTCATGCAGAACAAGCACTGATAATCATAATATTGCATGTACATCAGACAAAAGTAACTTAATGGACAACTTCTTTGTCTTTCATTGTGAATAGAGGCATGCAGAGGATTATCTGAAAACAGTGACCAATGAGCTGCTGGTTCTTCCAGCAATTGAAGACTTACAAAAAAAGAAGCAGATTCCCAAATGGTAAGTGAGGAGAAGTTTACATGCGGTATTACTAAATAACTGTCTACAGTGGGGACAGTGTCCTTTACCATCTCATTGTTAGAACACTTAAGAAATATGTTTGCATAAATTATGGTGATGGGTATTGTGAGTCTGAAATCGAGATATTACACAGGAAACCAGCTCTGGAGAGTATCCAAGATGTGCGTCCACAAAGGGAAGACCTTCCAGGGGCTTCACCTGGGGAAAAGGTAGATTATTTTTATGTTCAGAAAAGAAACTCCTTTTTTAACTTGGTAATATAATACAATACTGTTGGTAGGTTAGTTAGAAATTCAACTATGCCAGCATGGGATAGGGTAGCACCTAAGACAAAAGGAAACCACATTTAGCAGAATTACACATACATTTCAATTTTTGATATTTCTAATTTAAAGTTTTGAAGCCTTTTCTCTATCCGTCTCCTTCAGCACAAGTCAGCGTTAACCATGCGTTTGCTGTGTAACCCTGCTCACCCAATCAACAGAGCCATTATGCACCAGAAATTTGGGATATCACTCCCTGATGTCCACACGAGGAGCACAAATAATGCAGTAAGTAATCTGACTATAAATGTAGATTAGTATAACTTCAGCTGTAGATGATGATGATGATGATTATTCCATAAATGTTTTCCATAGAAACAATACTTTACAGAGGGGTTTGTTATGGTGCTGTTAAAATCAAGTGTGGTTTTGGGCCATCAGTATCATAAGAAGTATTTTCAATTTAATTATAGCTAGAAATAATGTTAAAGGTATACTTAGTGACATTTGTGTCAGTACCTCATTGTGATGTATTGTGCAGGTTGAAAGTAAACACTATGAAAAGTCTTCGTGACTAAAATCAGCCCTAAAGCCTTTCAGACTCTTTATGGAATCAAGGTGATGGTTGATTTCTTTCCTCCCGTAATTATGTACTGCAATTTGTTGCCAGATTGAGTAGCATACAGAACAATCACGGAGTGGGCGACAGTTAATTTAACTGTGGCTTTGTAAAACTCAACACCCAGGAGATTTTTAACTTTTTATTTGCTGCAGAGAGCCGGCTACACATGGCATTTTTGCTTTCTTAGTTATGGAGCAGATTTTCTCATCACACTTCAGTCTGACTGCTGGAAAAGACTACAGTCAACTGTAATAATAAACTATAATCAGAATAATGTTATGTCCTCCAGTTATTTGCTTTGCACTGTGAGAAATTGATTCCCGTGTCTTGAGTCTTTGTTGATATTAATTGTAACATACAGCCCATGCCTCAGGAAAGGTTTGATTAGAAAGCATTACAAGAATTTCTGCTACAACTAAGATGAATTGGATATCATTGTTCCTTCCCCTGATGCTCACTCCCTTAATTCCCACAACAGACACTTTATGCTGGAGTAAAGAGTGATGGTACAGGTCTGCATTAATAGATGCTTCAAGTCTCATGCTCAGAGAGACAGTGACATAAAGGTCATTTGGCTCAGTGGTGACAGCCAGCACTTGTCACAGCAAACAAATTAATCTTTGCAAAGGTCGGCATTAGTTTTAGATATATTTTACACACTTTCTTTTCCAATATGTTTTTGGTAATCTATACCTGACATGAGAAATAGCGGCCAAGACTGTCACTCTGATATAGGAGAGATGGAAGCGCTGGCTGCAGAAAGCGGAAAGCAGCAGATTGCAGCACATCAGCATTCTTCTAAAGAAACAGGCGCCTGATTGCTGTGCTATGGGCTACTGGTTTACAGCTGTCTCAGGACAGAAGTGGGTACCTGGTCCAGCATGCCAATAAGACAGCCGTAGCTTCCCCAACTGCTAACCACTGGCTCTCTGCCTGCTGCCTCCTCCTGCAACTCAGGCCAGCTCTTCTCCTCTCCGTACCCATGCCAGGAAATTAGCTTTTGCATTTTAGCAATTTTACAAAAAGGTGCCACCTTTTCCCAACCCCATCTGAAGCAGATGTGTGCCTTTGAGGGGAGATTCTCCCAGCACCTGGCTACTACCTGTGGTCTGTCAGAGAGCTCAGTGGTCTGAGGAGAACGAAAGAGAGGACATTAGGTGACAAGTCTGGAGGATCAGCAGCACAAACTTTGTGTTTTATGAGTAATGACACATTTGAATCTGTTCATAGTAAACTAGGCCATTAAATCATCTACTTTTAATTTTATTACGATATGGTAGTGTGTATTAAAATGTTTAGCAGAACAGAATTGGTGTGAGTCATAGTGTTTTACAATAAACCCATAATTGGCTACTTTGTGATTAATTGATGTAGGGTTAGATTGGTTACAGGACAGTTTACAACTTTGTCAGTGCCAGTTTTATGGCTCTCCTAAATTCTTAATGAATACAGGAAATCCATTGTTTGTAATCATGTAGGCTATCCCAGGCTTCTCCTTTATACATGTTCTGCTAGAAAGTTATTTTTATCTTAAATCGAAGCTGCTGCGAGTCTTATTAATGGTTGGTCACCTGATATACTTAAAACAATATCTCAAGAAAAACAAAATATATTTACTGAAGAAAAACATTTGATTAAACAAGTGCTTAGGGCCAGCCTTCTTTGACTGGGGGCAACAACTTTTATTTAATTTATATCAGACGTACAACCTCTGATCCTATAAAAATATTCTGTTAAGGCAAAACATCACAGAATGATCACTCGCCCTGTGAAGAATCTTCCGGCCATTGAACCAAAGGGCCGTCATAGCCTGGCAATGCCTGAAGAAGACATGGGGACAGGTAAACAGACATTGCACCACCTCATCTTCAACATCTTACCTCTGTTATAATGCAGACAAATGCTCACTGATTGTTTGTGTCTGAAACTTTAATGAACAATCACAATGTGTTTAAAGTTGATTTTATTTTCCTTTTCATCATTGCCAGATACAGATTTGCTTAGCATGTCGATCCAGCACAAGGCTGCCTCTCTTCACCCCAGAGAGGATTCATATTCTTCTAAGACAGGTCTGTTGCACTTGGAAATATTGTGGCAGTCCAATATTTTGATTTGGCTTTTAGGCAATTATGCATTTTGTCTTCTGTTTTGCTCTCTTGCCATTTCTCTCATTGTTTTGATTGTTTTTTAGTTTAAACCCTTTAGTGACTCTGTTGTTGTAGGAACAGCTGCCACTTGATTTGACACTAATGACTGTTTGCCACTGACTGATCAGTGATAGAGTACAGTCAAGCTTGTCTGTTTGTGACTTCAGGTCTGATAAGCTCGAAGTCCAGGTGTCACAAGCAGCTGAAATGGGAAACAGAAACCAGATCCATTTGTGAAAGAACACCCCTCTGGACCACCAAGACACCGCCTCCCTCCACGACCTCCAAGAGCATGGACCACAGTGGCATGATGCAAGGAACCAATGGTCTTAGTCCTAAAAGCCCTCAGGTGAGAATACTGTAATCGTTTTAAATAGATGTTAAATAAAATCAAGAAAGAGAAGGTGATCTAAGACATTTTAATTCCTTTAATTGTATAAATAAAGTCTTGGTTGGTTGCCTCTCACTTGTCTCTCTGTGTTCTGTAGAATCTACCTGTGCAAGTTCCAGTAAACATCAGCAAGTATCCCTTTACCATCATAAAGGGACGGATAAACCCACTTGCGACAGATTTCTGTCACTTCAAGCAGAGCTTCAGTTTTTGCTGGAGCAGTGTGGAGGATGCTCTGGAGGCCCTTCAAAAGCTGCTGAGGGACTTTGCCGTGCCTCTAGCCAGAGTGAGCGGGGAACAGCTAGTGGAGTTTGGGCATGGTTGGGATAGTGTTTGGAGAAAGGCTCCTCCAGTGATCAGCCTCCTCTCAGTGCTTGAAAACTGGGAGGAGGTATCGGATCTGGTTTTATGCCCAGGTCAGCGCTACAAGGGAGAGGGAGGCATTGAGGCAGCTGCCATCCACATCCAGTCCTGCTGGAGGCGCTGCTTAGCCCGGACAGCCTACCTGCGCCACTGCCGGCACAAGTGGGCGGCAGGTACCATCACTATCTCATGGCTGATGCGCACTCAGATGCGCCGTGTCAGGAAGGCCCTTCAGGCCCGACGTTTCACACAACTGGAGAATTACCGCAGCAGAGCCCAGGTGATGTTGCTTATATCCAATGTGTGCTTTCTCACTTTCTCTCCCTCTTATTTAATATTGCTCTCTCACCTTTTAAGAGCTTGCATTTGTTTCTCTTTTTTTCCCATTTTTTCAAAATAAGAGTCAGACTTTTATTCGTTATTTTAGATTAAGTTAAATAAGACAAATCTCAAATGTGGATGTACATGGTTCCATTTGATGTATTATCATTTATTGTCAAAATTATCTGCATAATCTGTGAAAAAACAACAAGTTCAGTGTTTTAAAACATTATTTAGGCTAAAAGGAAAATATTTTCTACATTTCAGCTTGTCACAATTAAGTTCTATATTCCATTCAGTCAAAAATGCCAGTGTTTCACGGAGAGCCAGTCAAAATCTGTGTTTGAGCAACATCCTTCATGTACTACTCTGAGTAAATGATTGTAAAAGTAACACAGAGATGTGGCAATGCCATGTCAATAAAAACGCAGGGACATTAATCTTGGTGTGTAACTTTAAAATGTGCTGTTTTAGTACTTCTGCTTTGAGAGTAACAGAAACACAGAACAGCAGAGGGGAGCAGTGAGACAAACGAACAGAGGAAAACATCAGAGAGAAGCAAGACAACATAAAACAGGAGGAGTTAGATGAACAGCAGAGAGAAAGAGTGAGACAGATGAAGAAAGTAAAACTGCAGCCACACTGATAGCAAAAGAAGACAAATGGAGAAACAGTGATTATGAGGGCTGGAGATCAAGGACACAGAAGGTACCCAGTCCTACCAACAGTTAATTATGATACATGTAACAGTAGCTAAATATGTAATGACATTCTGTAAATAGATATAATATTATAGATAGTAGATTTAAAAATGTCTTACTTTAGAAATTTTAGATTTTCTGGGGGGATATGCCTTATTAAGCTGTGAAGACCAACATTATTTCTACCTTCTTTCCACCATAGCAGAACCTTACAATCCTCAACCCAAGAAATAAAAATCTACGTCTATTTAGCTCTTGGAGGGAGTGGTATGACAGCACAGTTTTCCTAGATGTATAATGTTCTGTAAATTTTTCCCCATTCAGCGTAGATGTCATGTCTGTGCTGTCATCTGGGCTGAACATCTTTTAGAACGCCGCTGACACAATATTAATTAGTGCCTACGAGTTCATTTAGTTTTAACATCACTGTGTGTGTGTATACATGCACTAAATGTATGTTCTCACTCTTTAAACATTCATACCCTGTTAATTAAGCCTGCTAATCTTCCCCTGGCAGTAGCATCATGTACCTTGCTGATTGAATTAATTGTGAGAAGATGTTTCTAAAGTAAACGCTTAATTTAATTAAGGTGGTATTTTATGCTTGGTTTGCTTCTGTTAGCCCAGAGAGAGATTGGCTTGATGTGTTTTAGCTATGCAGTGATGATTTGTGTGTGTGTGTGTGTGTGTGTGTGTGTGTGTGTGTGTGTGTGTGCGTGTGACGCGTCCAAGCAGTCCCCTCTCTGATCACTCCTTTTCTCCATCCCCAGCATCTGGCAGCCAACTGGAAACACATCCAGTCCTCCAAGAGGACCATTATCCACATCCCTTCATTAGGTAGCTTTCTCTGCCTGCTGCACACACACGCGCACACATGCACACACACACACACACACACACGCACACACACACATGCACATCTGATCTAGCAGCAGTCATCCCCTGTCTCACCACTCTGCTGCTGCCCCAGTCTGTGGCCCTGGTGGAGGCACTCTGTCTCGTTCAAATGACTCTCTGCAGGAAAGCACTCACAGGATGATGACAGTCCCCATGCCAGGGAACTGAACAATTTAGTCTCAATCGCCATTTAATTTGCAGATTAAGCAAATGAAAAGCCATTATGTTGAATATTTGCAAGAGGCACAAAGGTCTTATTTTATTGCTTTGCAAAAAACACACACACACTCACACACACGAGGAAGAAGCTGCTGTGTTTTTGCACTAGACATAGAGTGCAAGCTATGATCCGTTCTTGTTCTAATTTCACCATGGCACTCACATTTAGACTGTAATCAGGCATGTGCATTGTAAATCATTGAGCGATTGTCTAAAATTATTAAGCCTAATTACTAGCAGATGGAATGCTTTATTTGCACTTGGGGTGGCTACAGAGAGTGCTGTGTGAGCAAGGATAATTAGAAAGTTGAACCCCATTGTTGTTAATTAGCATGAATCCAATCATTTAATTACCTTGATTCAGTTGAGGATTCTCTCTCAGGCAGAAATCCAGACAGACATAGAATAAAATCCTGGAGGTACCACTGGATGTAGCTCAGCGGTGGCTGGACATGGTGCAACAGGACTCCCAGCACATGACAGACACTGCACCTGCTAGTTATTAAGCTAAATTAATCATCAGATTGCGCTACTGTGTGATTAGACTTAACTACCCCACCGCCAAGTCTAGCAGCGTGCACATCTGAGGGTACTTGTACGGAGCTACACATTTTTTAATGAAGCCAATTAGAGATGATATCAATCTCTCTGTGAAAGTGTTGTGCAGACTTTTGTGACCTTGTTCTGACAGGATACTCTCACAGCCAGCGAGTGAGCTTGAGGGGATTCGACGTCCTACAGAACATCCAAATAGGCAGACTGTGTGATATTAGAGGTAGGAGCTTTTCACAGCCTCACCGCCACATGCACGTTACTTTTCTTTGTGCACGTCACTGTAAACTTCTTGTTGTCTTTGTATACTTTAAGATGAAAATGTGGAGGTGATCTACGTATGTCCGAGGCACCTGGGGGACGATATTTTGCACTATTACACCAGCCTCCTCAAGTGTGATGGAGCCACAGTGGAGGACGGTACCACTCAGGCCTCTTCCTCCTGTGTCAGACGCTTTATCATCATCACACCGGAGACTGTAGATTATTTCTCAGTAAGGTCAATCACATCCACATTTTGTGTGCGCAAATGTAAACTAGTTGATTGAGTGCGCTTAATGTTACAGCAGGATCTCCGAGTTCACTGTAGAGACTGTTGTGTAGAGATGCTACAAGCATGTGTAGTTTGTGAGTTCTCCTCTAGAGGGTACTACAGGAGATTGTTATTATACAGTTGTCTTGTTAGAGTTACACTGTTTAATATTTTTCATCCCCATTTAGTACTTTTGAAATTAAACATCAGTGTTATTTTGAAGTAAACACACCAAAGCTATATTAAGTTATACTTAATTAAAATACATGCAACGGTCTCTAGCTGGTGTTCAGTAAATAATTAAATTCCATTTTGTTGGTTTTATTAACGGTTTATTCCACCTAACTGCTGCATTTTCAGACATTCTGACTTGTTTTGATTACCTCAACACAATAAAATGAAGGTGTTGTTATATTGTCTTTTTACATCCAGCCATTCTATCCATCTTTTTACATCCTTTTGCGCTAGATTGAATGTGCAACATGACATGGTCTTCTTCATTTCTTTCTATTGATTTTCCCGCTGTTTTGTTGTTAAACTGTGCCAGACGTGTTGCTGAGATGAATCACTGCTACCCATGGCTGGCAGCGCATTCTGCCAGTGACAGAAGGGATAATTCCATGTGGATCAAATAAATACAGATGTGAAGTAATTAGTTATATTCCCAAGGAGCTCATTGCTAGCACACATTAAAGATGTGAAGGATAGGGGAGGACTCCCACAGGCAGCTTTTATCAATTCAACCTGCTGGAATACAGGAGAGGTTAAAACCCTGCTGGCTATTACAATAATAGATCTGTTGTGTGTACACAGTGATAAATCAGGTCAAGAAACAACCCTTGGAAGACACACTTAGAACTCTTATCTCCAGCAGAAATCTTTTTTTTTTTCTCCCCCTCTTCCAGACCCGTAACATGTGCCTGTCCACGCTGCTAAAGTACAGTCCACGCACCCTGAAGCGCATCAGGAACCTGATCCAGGGGAAGCAGGCCTATATTGTGGGTGGAGTGGCGCATGTGGATGACCTGGCAGTGGCTGACGAGCTCGGAGTGCCAATCCTGGCTCCAGAACCGGCTATTGCACAGCTCTACAGCACCAAGTCGGGAGGGAGGAGGATCTTCGCCGGGGCAGAGGTTGATGTGCCGCCTGGTCAAGGAGACATCTACTCGCTAAACCAGGTCAGAGATTAAAAACACAAATGCATACACCATTACAGCAGGAGGGATTTTATCACTGCCTGTACACAGAATACATTTTTACTTTTATTTGTAACTAATGATATTATTTATTTTGTAATTCACACATCTCTCCTTTGGTTTAGCTCCATGAAACACTGGCTGAGCTCATGACCCAAAACACTGATGTGCAGCGCTGGCTCTTTAAGATGGACTCTGAGCACAGTGGCCGTGGCACAGCATACTGTGATGTATGCCATCTTAGCTGCTATAACTGGGCCCTACAGGAATGCCATCGTTACGGTCCTGAGCTATGGAACACAGAGTGGATTCAGGTAATTCAGAGGATTACGTCACTCCCTCCCTGCCATAAACTATAGAACCACTTCTTAAAGGACATTTTATACACTTACTTTTATGCAGTGCTTTATTGAATTTGCTTGAATTTTGGTTTGCTTTTTTATTATTTTTATTTATTTCCCTTATTACTTCTCCCTAAATTGATGTTTTTTACTATTATGTCTTGCTTTTATGGCTCCCTCCAAAGCACTGGTTTTACAAAAGTGCAATACAAATAAAGTTTATTGCTATTATTATTACACACATACCAATGAGGGATCGGCCATTTAAAGTTAACATGGTAACAACTAGATACTTAACAGATAACATTACAGTAACAGCTAGATATTAAAATGGAGATTGTGCTCATTGTTGAGACGAGACAGCTTTAAAAATAAGGGGCTAGATTCACTTCTGTCATTGAGTGAAGAAAAGGTCACAGTGGGGTCAGAGAGATGCCATCATTTAGCTAAGAGTGGGGTAACAGTCACAATGCTGGTCCCTGTAGTACAGTATTTTGAGCATCGCCCACATAGCCACAGAACATTAAATCAATAGATAAAAATATCTGTTTATACACACAGCCATTATCCATTCTCTGAGGAAACACACATCAACTAGTGTCGGTGCGTTGGGGAGAACAAAAGCCTGTCCAAAACTCAACTGACAGTGACAATTAAATCACAGTGCAGACACTCTGGTCAAAAGAGCATTTCTTTTTTGGTTATATTTTTTAAAACTATTGTGCAGATTAATGTCGCACAGATTCACAGCTGATATAATTAATATTACAAATGCCTTGAAAGTATATCAGAGTACAAATGACACTAAATAATGTAATCCTTGTTTGCAGCTGATGTTTATGCTTTGATCTGCTGCTCCAGCATTACAACATTGAGCTTTCTGTCTCTGTCTGTCCATAACACTCACTGGACTGGTCTGAGCCATTTGTAATTATACCATTTTAGTACTAATACCATGTGTTATGTTAGAGGTGTGACACTGTAGTTGTTCTATTAAATTTAAACATTTGCTTTCTCATCAAAAAATAAATTCAGGTTTAATCTCAGACCTATTCAAAACAAATGAAATGCACTTAATCATTGGTAAACTATTCATTTAGTACAGATGCAATCTGTACACAGCTTTTGAGCCCCTGGCTCTTATTTCTCATATGCTTACAAAGTAGCCTTTGATTTTCTGTCATGTGTTAATTACCGTATTTTGCCATTTAACTGGGAGCTTTGTGTAAACTAATTACAGGCTAATGATTGTGGGCTTGGAGCACAACGATTTTACTTTTTATTCCATTTGAAAGAACAGCAGTCATCTCAAGCTTCTTATGGCTCACTCTGTTTTGTTCCTATTAGCTCGTTCTTTGATTCATAGTGTATGTGCAGTGCGGGGCTGTAATTGTTGTGGCATTGGTGCTGTTAATTATGGCAGAGAGTGGCTGAGCCACAGCCAAGGTCCATAATGGTGGCTGAGGCAGCACAGGAAAGTAAATGGGGTTTGTTTCACCAGCTGGGGTCCCATGGAGAGGGAAGAGTGCCGAGGCCCCCAGTGTAGGCCGACAGCCTCGGGGCTTCTGGGCCATATGGACACAACACTTTAACTGGCCTTTATTCTACACCTTGCTCTTTTAATCAAAGCAAAGCCCACATCCTGTGCTCCTCATTGCATGCTTTTTTTCTTATGACATTGTTTTCCCCTAAAATGTATTAGCCCCTTAAATGTACTACATCGTCCTTCTGCTGTTGTACTCGTGTATATTGAAGATAGCAATTTGGCTCTATATGCTGAAAGATTACAGAACAATGTTGTTGATTAGATAGAAACATATGAATATTTTATATCAGTGCAATCCTCTCCTCACAGCAGAAACTGTAGATGGATGTTTAAACATGGCAGTACATTTTGAGATATAACGCTCATTATCGTAGCACTTTGGTGAAAAGAAGTAGACCTAATTGCAACAGCGGTGACAGCTGGTGAACAGGATAGATACTGAATATTTGCAAGCATTTAAGCAATAGATGTTTAAAGCTATGTTTACGAAAATAGTCGCAATTTAATTAATTATTAATGAAACACAAATTATCAAATGAAGCATTTTAAATATTTATTCAGAATTACCAAGAATAACACTAAGATCATTGTTTACCAAAAAAAATAACAAATAAGTGTTGATTGAAGTGTGTATTATACAAGTATGTTTTACAATTCAGTGGAGTGTCTCATGCCCTTTATAATCACTGTAAAAGTAGAGAGAGGATTATAGAGTAAACTTGGCCTCCGTCTACACAGACTGCGTGCATATTTTTGTAATTATTGCTTGTTCTGAAGGGCTCAGCATGAAGAAGTCTGACTCACAAGAATACCATGTGGTCTTTTAGAATAATACCAACAATCAGATCCCTTCTGGCGATGTAAAAGAGAGCCTAAAAGGGTACAACAACAAGAAGGAGGAGGGATCGCAGCCACACTAGAGGTGCTTCCACAGAGGTCTAGGAGATGAGCGCGCTTCTCTGAATAATGTGGGGCCCACAGCCTCCAGCACAATGTTTCAGCCTGCAGAAAGCCCCCGGGCCTCTTTTAGCATTTACACAGAGAGAGGTTAAAGACATGTAGATCTGCACCCATGCAACGCCTGAAGGGGGCCACACACACACTTAAGCGCTCACACAGCTTGCATATGGATCATTAGGCACAAGAGGGTAAAAATTACACCTAATAGCGTCAACAGATGGAGTATTTCTTTTTGTCACGCTGTGTACAAACAGATCTTGAGCAACACCTTATTTAGGTTAAGTTTGTCAACGAAATGGGTCATTTGATAATCACTACCACTGAAGAGGTGCGGGGACGTTTTGTGCAGATGTTTTCTGTCTAAATATTGTGCAGTCTGTGTTTGCATGGAGGAGTTTAAATATATAATGTTCCGCGTTAACATAACTCACCTGAATTTACCTTAACAAGATGGTGAATATTTTCCATGGTGTATAAGTGTTTATGCTTTATGTTTGCTTTCATTTCACTGAAGGTGAAAGTGCTTTTTATGCAGTCTTTAAGAGAGGAAAGGTTGCTGTCCTTGTGCGAAGATGTTAAAATTCAACCAGGGATGAGGAGAATGTGATAACAGGAGAGCGACTTAATGTTTGATTCATATCAGTATGATGCATGAAATTAGTCATGTGCTGTTATAGATTGAGGTTGAAGCATTGGTAGGACAGTGATTCAGAAAATAAATATTCATATTAAATGTATGACTAGTCTGATTATATCCAAATATTACCGAGACTTGCTGTGACTTCTCAGTTGTTTCACTACGTAATGGAGAGATGGAATGGCAATCAAAGAGGCAGGGCAACATCTGTTTTATTTATGACCAGATTGCTCAGCTTTATGTGGACACCAAGCAAAGCCTGAATCCTATCACGGGGTACTGTACGCAGTTTAAGTCCAAATAATTTATTGCAAAATACCTCTCTTTCTTTTCCCCCTGTCCTGCTGTTTCTGTGAACTGCATAGGCAAAGTCCTGGGGTGAGCTTGCTCTTCCGTTGAAAATGACAACCGTTCCCTTACACTTTTTGCCGCACCATTGTGTGCTTTATGGTTTGTATAGGGGGAATCACTGTGTAGCATTTGACCTCGCCTCTTACAGTACTTGAATATGATGATGGCTGCTACATGACTGGAATATCAACAGCATAATCTCCAGTCCTGTCTCCAGTGAAGCCAGACAGCATATACTCAAAACAAAGTAACGCTCTAGATAGAACGATAAAAGAACAAAGACATTATTTCCATTCAGAATTTAGCCGTCTCTCGCACAGGTTTCAAAAATGTTATTGTGTATGACCAAATTAAATTCCTTTCTAATGGTCATACACAGACGTTATTACATACAGAACCCTGTATTTAAAATCAGCACTTGGACTCTTCATACAGTCCACATAAGCATTCAATTGTCGCTTTAATACACAATATATATGGTATAAAATGACAGCTAAAGGTTTAGTGGAGTCATTGTTGACTTTATTTTTCAACATTTTTCAGAGGAAACAGTGTACTTGAGTTGCCAAACTGTTAAAGAGACACCTAAAACAAAAGTTAGAAATTAACAGCGTAATTAAGTGGTGAAACCATTATGGCATTTCCTAGTTACAGAAACGAGTGATATTGATCCCAGTCAAGCCCTGATTGATCCCCAGATAGATGGGGTTAGCTTAGGCATTCATCAGCTGCCCAGTGGAAAGAGTTGTTATTGAGGGCAGGTGCTGTCTGTGTGGCTGTGAGTTAAAGCCATTAGACTCCTGAGGCCTTCTGATAATAGGCTGTCACTCACAGATAGACCCTCCCGCAGTATCCATCAGACACTCGCCCAGAAATTGAAGCAGCCACCAAAGGTCTCAAGGATAACAAGCAGTCACTGGAGTCATCCGGATAACACAAGGGCATTTCCAATAATGTAGTCGACACCTAGAAAGCTTTGATAATGGGACAAAATAAAGTAGCCTGAGCTTGTTATTGGCGTGTATTTGAATTAACAAACATGCATAATGTCAGATCTGTCAGGAGCTCATTTTCAGTTGATTCCTAATGTATGCATCTTCACTTTCTTTCCGCAGAGGTCCATACTGCTTAGATATTTAGATGAAATCCCAGAGTGGCTTGCCCGTTACGCCCGGCCTGCTAAAACCTCCTGCTATCCCAACTGGGCCTGCTTCCTGAAGACCTTCCTCAGGCAAGGTCAGATACCTATTGTCAGACACTGAATGCTATTCACCTGCAAATACAACCGTTTGGAATAGGCAGTCATTTCCTATGTCCTTCCTAGATCCCAGATGTTGCCGATGTGACCTGACAAGTTTAATAATTTTCTTGTTACTCTTTTTGGTTGTTAAACAGCTGCTGGGAGAGTTTCAAGTGCCGTAACATCGATAACTTTTCGTTGTCTGTGTACTGTAGCCATTCATCCGCTTTTATTGTGTGTCCAGGCGGTGTGGTGGAGGCCTACCCCCCTTCAGACAGTGTCACCTGTCTGACAGTGGATCTGCTGCTGGAGCCCGGGGGTGAGGTGACCATGCTGTCCTGTGGAGACCAGCTTCACGGCTCCTGTCAACTGGAAGCTATAGGCTCCACTGTTCCTCAGACCTCTGTACACCCAGAGACCTTGCAATCCATTTGCACGCATGTGGGCCAGGCCTGTCTACAGCGCCTTATTGTAGGTTATGTCTCCGTGGACCTGGCAACCTTTCTGAACTGCAACACCATGGAGCAAAAGGTGAGACATAGGCGGGGCAAGAAAGGGCCTTAGCTCATGCTAGCACGATAAATATGGTCGTGGGTGGTGTCATAGCTCTCTATTTCACGATACTAGTGAAGCAGATCAATTTTTAGGCTGGATCAGGGATCCATATGAGCAGATAGGTGTCTCCCTACTGCTCCCCTGGGATTTGGAAAACAGGCAAGGCAAACAGTGGGCACAGAGACCAAATGTGTCACAAGGCCATCTAATAAACTGTCAGGTCTTGTCGTGTCGATACACTGATTTCACCATTTAAGGCTTGCCCTTTAACCTCACAGTGCCGAGAAATTCAGAGGCACCTATCTTTCAGACAAAAGGTCATTCTAAAGTGATTTGGCAGCTTCACGGGGATGCCCTGTCAGTGTTTAACCCCCAGCTGCTTACCTGCAGTGGTCTGCCGAAATCTGTCCTGTTATTATAGCGAGGCACCGTCGAAGCCTTATCTCATTTGTCAGGATTAAGTTTTGTTGAAACCTTCTTGATTTATGATATTGGAAATGGGCTGGTTTATGATGGTTTAACCTCTGCTCCTAACATGTGGCTGCATTGACTGCTTATTGATCCAGAGCTGTAAAATGAAATGCTTTGTTTATAACATGGTCTATAAAATACTAAACCTGCAAAACAGTGGAGAAAGCACCAGAGCTGCTTTACAGTTTTACAAAAGGACATGAAAAAGGACACTGAATGTGTTCAGCTTTTTTTTCTTTCATTAAATATCAATCAGGTAGCAATACATCTTCCTCTTATTCAGAGCATTTCAGTACATCTCTTCTGTTTTTTGTGTTTCTCTTCGCTGTCGAAGCTTTATGTATGTTTGCATTCATAATGTATACTCAGTATAACAAATGGATTCAGAGTAGACACTAGTTAAGGACATGCTTGCCACTAGAGGGTGGTCTCCTATGGATGAGATGTTAACACAGTGTGAGCAATGCAGTATTCAGAGAATGCAGCTTGTATCCTAAAACTTTAAATATTCTGCATTTAAGTGAACTTCTATTTCAGTGTATTAATAGTCTTGGCTCCTTTAAGTCTCAAAATGCAGAAATATATTTGTCAGTGGTCTTAACATGGACTGTGGATTTCACTGTATTGTATTCACTTTAAGGGAAAAAAATATCTGACAGTATTTCTTACATTTCAGGAATTAATCTAGTCACTATATTGTCATTTCGGTCACCATTAAAATCAGAAAATGCCATTTCTGAAATGTATCATAGCGACTGAAGCCGTCCTTTCTTTGACTGTTCAGAATAATATAATGACAGCCTCAAAATTAATTTTCAGTTTGAGTGTTGACCCAAAATTGAATGGGATTCACTGACAGCATAATTAAGAACAGACTATAAACAGCCTGTGCTTCAATGGAGGCAGGAGCATTAAAGACAGATTCTTAACCATCTCCCCACACACACAGAGCTCAGACAGAAGAGAGTCACATGGGCAAACCTGTCTGGATTTAAACATCAATTTAGATTCAAACCTGTTGCTAAAAGCTGCCTACTTTATTTGATGGGAAGAAGTGGGTCACATATGTTTGCCCTTGCAGTCTTTCCTCACATTGTGGAGCGGTGGGGCCCCAGCTGCAGCATCAGGGTTTTTAATGAAAATGCAAGGCAATAGAAAACAGGTACAATCCAGGCTTGCATTTCCCACGGCTTTGTTAAGAGCGACAATGAGACATTGGAGTATGATTTTTAGTGAGTCGAGTGAATGCCACGGTGGAGTGTGTCCATCACTCGGGCTCAGGTATCAACCTGATGCATAGAGAGGAGCATCTATCCAGTGGTAGCTGCTGTACCTCTGATGATAAAGGTGGCAGAGTGAAGGACATACTGCTGAACGTATGTTAAACGTGAATGTACACAGCTTGCAGTTGTTTTGATTGTGCTGTTTATAACACTTCATGCATTTGCTGTATTTTAATGTCATTCTCATGTACATGCAGCCTTCATTCAGTTTCAAAGCTTAGTCAAAATGTTGAATTTAGAATACTTACTCATGCAATTACAAATCATATGCAGCCTTTATTTGGATGAAATTGCCCCAGAAATAATTATGATAAATTATATTATTGTCATTTTAAAACCATTTTATGCCTTTGATAAAATGATAATTTAACAGCATAATAATGTAAGTACAGCTTTTCAAAGAGCAATGAACTTTTAATTTGACCAGAAATGACAGCAAAACTTGTCTAAGCTGGGTTTTTTTTTTGCTGTTCATTCATCTTAGGCACCCAAATCTTGTAATGGTCGTAAAAACCCTACTGGCATCATTCTGGCGTCATCATGCTAAAATGTTAGTGACACTCTTATGTACACAAACACATGTAAACACAAGGTCAAAATTTTACGATATATGGACATGATGAATTTTTGCTGACCTTCATAAGTCGATAATGTAATTATCATGACAGACCCAACTGGAAAACTGTTCCAGGTTACCAACAGTAGGTCGTGTTGCCTGAAATAATTCTATCATAAACATTTAGTCACTATTGTATTTTAATTTATTATTTATTATTTGGGGTATTTCTTCAAGTGTTTCATTGAAAGTGTTGTGAAATATGTTTTTGTATTGCACAACCCTTTTGAAGTCTGTACATTATTATACTTTGAATTTGACAATCTGTTATTTATCAGTAATTCTACTGACAAAAAATCAAATCGGCAACAATTATGATGACTGATTAATCATTTTATTTTTCAAACAAAAATGCAAACCATCTCTGATTCCAGCCTCTCAAATGTGAAGATTTGCTGATTTTCCTTTTCTTGTGTCGTTGTAAACTGAATATCTTTGAGTTTTTGAACAAAATAAGACATCTGAAGACATCACCTTGAAAAATTTGATAAGCATTTTTCACTATTTTACTGACTTTTCATTGAGGAAAAAAAAAGATTATTCAAGAAACTACTTGTCAGATTAATCGATAATAGAAATAAAAGTTAGTTGCAGCCCTTGACTGTGACCTATGTTTCACAATATATTTGAATTTATTACAAATAAATAAATGTGGCCTATAAGTACTGTATATGGTCAGATGTTCATGTGTTAGTGGAGATAAAGTGCTCAGGTTACAGCGACTGCGGGGTTGAGACAGGCAGCGATTTGCATTCAGTGGCAGGAGCGTTTACTTTGACAAATAGGAACAGCAAAAGGAGGCAGCCGACTGCCACTTAGTTATTAACAACTCCTTCACTGGTGATTTATTTGCCACTTTTGAAGAGAGGGCATAGCTATTAGGTTATTATTGGGAAAATTAGCCCTGTTTAAGCAGAAGGCTACGACCATACCTGACCCCTTAATATACTTATAATGATGCCATTTACTATACATATCTGAACTTAGCTTCTCATCAGACCTGCGCCAAACAAACTAGCCCAAGGCACACTGAATCCAAATACGCTGGGAAGGATCTACTTTGTGCACATGTCATTCCACAACTGAATTACCTAAATCTGTTGAGCACACACCATTAACCGTGTTTTCCTTTCTGCTGCCTCTCAACATGGATAACATTGTAAGGATTAAAAGGTACTGACCCCACTCTTTATGAGGATTGCTGTGTGAAATACTTTGATGTTCCATTTTTTTGTGATTAATTTGGAATTTAAGTTTACAGTGTCTGTTTTGCTCTGCTGTGACACAGAGTTCATGATGTCATGTTTGCAGGTGTGGGCTATTGATCTGGACCTCACATACAGTGACCAGCTGGCCATGACCCAGATGCTTCTGATGATGACTGGAGGAACGCTGAATTGCAGCACCGGCTGTTTAGAAGTGCCAGTGCCAGTCAGAGAGAAATGCTGTGAACACCAGATTGTAGCCAAAGTACCATTTTATATTTGCTTATAAGGACAGTTTTGATAATGTTACATTTTTCTTAAACATGAGAGGGTCGATTTTAAGTGCTATATTTAAAGTCGCATGCTTTTGCAGTGTCCCAAATTGTCCTTAACAAGAAAGAAACTGCCGGTTCTAAAGCAAGCCGAGACTTTAGAGGGTATTATTACACCGCCACTGTAATCATAAAGATAGATCAATGTTTTGCTCTTCATTTTTGTTAAATACAACTAAATACTGTAATTACGCACTGAGCTCAATTGGTGTTTAGGTGCTGAATTCATTATCATTTTGATAGATGAGCCTAAATAATCAACACATTAATAATTCATACCATTTTCATTATGCATGTGTATGCATGCTTGAACACCTCATCAACCTGGTGCCAGGCCTTAAACAATGGAGTTCTTTTATTAGCAGTATGCCTGAGTTTACGCTTGTTAATCTGCGACTTGTATTATTTTATCAAACATTCATTTAGTCGGTGGCCTGGTGCTTCAGTGCAGCAGTTGAGCCACCGCAGTGGTTAATGGCTTTAGCAGTGGCCATCATTAGGGGGCTGCATATTACAAACACAATTAAATCCCTGTTGGACACTTTTATTGTTGTGTGAGGGTCCTGTGTTTGACAACCACAAACACACACCCATCACAGCAAGTTATGGGCCATCTCCTGAGCCCACAGGGGCTTAGGCCTGCTCTTTTTGTCTCCCAAAGGTGCCTAAGAACCAGGAACATTTTTATCCTCTTGAGCCCTGCCACTTTTAAGTAATCAACCTCTCTAGTGTTACTTATGACACTGAAATGCTCAGAACCCCCTCTATTATGGTGATATGTATTGTGCATTGAGTAGTCTTTTTGTGTATCCGGTATAGTGCTTTTGTCCCAAATTGAATGAAAACACTTGCACTCCCAAAACTGTGGTTTCTTTGATTGGCATCGTACAATTAAGCTCATCTTGTATTTGGCATGTCTTCTAAACCTTAATTGTTCCTCCCCGCAGTTAATTAAGAAAGGCCCAACAGTTTACCACATGTGCCCCACACTCATCATGTTTACTAATCACACACACTCCCCAAACTCAACAGTGACCCTAAGGACATGTGTATGGGGTTCAGCCATCTCTACTCTACCCATTCTACACACACCACCATGTATTATACTTAAACTTAGAATATGAACATAAAATGATTTTGTCTTGTTTTAGATTCACAGAAAAACTAATGACAACAACCAGACACTAACATGCTATGTCTTTATCTTCTTCTTTTTTTTCAGTCTCCTGTGGTGAAGCGTTATGCAGTTATTGGGAGCCACTTGTTTCACTCTAACCTTTCCATGTTATACCATAATGTGTTCTTTATGGTGTGCAAGGCTCATGGTATAGGATTTAACATGAAGGTAAAACCTCAAAATTCAGTTTGGCTTTGAATCATCCTTATGTCTTAATCATTTTTGCAGCTTAATCTGTAATTGATTGGAAGTGGAGCTCGACTTTACCCATCAAAGTGTGATTACAGGTCTTAGGGAGTAGTACTGCATATGGTAAAAGCTGCATGAACGCTAATAAGTTGCCACGAGTGATGTCACTTTAGTCAGTGGCGGTTGAGTCTAAAGACTACAAGTTTGAAAATGAAACAAAAAAAATCTGGGGGTTTGGACTCCCAGAGAAGTGAGCTCACCAGAATTCTTTATCCTGCTCCTCATCTCTACTTGAGGCTAGCAGGTTGAGGCTTCATTCGCTGCTACCAGCGTAACACACCAAAATATTTGACCAAACTGTCCAGCCCGGTTTCACAGAAATACGTGAAAGTGACACAAATTTTTAACATCTCATTACTTGGTTATGGGCATGAAATTAGATTATTTAAAATGACACAAAAACAATGCCAGTGCAAAGACGATGAGGATCTTTTGTTGTGGTGGACACACATATTTAGTATAAAGACCGAAAAGGCCGCATAGGGTGGGTGGGAGGGGTCAAACACACATGCACTGCCAACCAGGAGACCACTGTTTGTGTCCCGTGTGAAACCAAAAGTCAACGTAGTTATGTGACTTTACGTAACAACATGGAGTACTTTACATACGTACTTAACTACGCAAAATATGTAAGTGCGTCCTCTACATAGTTATCTTAACCGTAGTTATGTTATTCTGAATTCAACCAAGTATTTTTTGTTTTATAAACCTAACCAAGTGTTCTTCTTTACGTAAACCCAACCAAACTGCAAGCATTCATAACAGACTCACTGGTGTTGACAGCTCATAAAATACATTTCACGCCCACCACCATGTTATGCATTTTAAAGTGGTTGTGTCCACTTCACATTTTTCTGTGAGACTGTGTTGAACTGTTGGTAGTCAGGTTGCATTGTGGGTAATGTAGGCGCCATGTATTGACAAAAAAGAATAATGTAAAATAGATGATATCTCTGCTCTGCTACATCTTGATCGTAACTGTACATCAGAAGTCCGACAATGTTATCAGAGTGCAATGCTGAATCAGAGGAGTATTCTTTTAATCTACAGTAAGTGATGACAGAGCTCTTCTTTTCACTGTTTGTTTTTTGGCTCTTACCTTTCAGAGGAAACAAGGAACTGTCTTTGCTGTTTACGACAGCAGTGAGCGATGCAATATTGGAATGATGTAAGTATGTTTTGTTGCGTAAAATTTATATATATACAGTGTTAATGACATTTAGGGTTCATCACCAGGGGAAATAATTCTAAGCACATTTAGGTTTGCTTTACATCTCTCTGCTCGCAGACAAGCACAAGAAAAAAAAACGTAGAGGATTAGTTGGATGAAATATTTCTCCAAACTGAGAGTAAAGACAATTCTTTAGAGGATTAAGATGCCACCTCTGGCTTTGTAAGTGTTGTTGCAAACTCTAGAAGTTGTTAAGCAGAGGGTTATTTAACATATTTATCACTCAAATCCTTTAGCTTACACAGTGCTGTAACAGTTAAATCAAGCTGTGCTCATCCCCCCAAAGACTGAAGATGTTGTCTGCTGAAAGTTTCATTTAACCACCACCATCAGATGAACAAGGTGATTGTTTCTTAGCTGGCAACGTGGGGAACATTAGCAAACTCGTTTGTTTGGGGTGTCGTTAACAGAACGGTCTCAGAGGATCTCCAGGGAGCTCTGGTGACCTTTGCTCGGAATCTGTCAGTCATCCATCAGGAAATATCGCCCTCTAAAATGCAAGGAGAAACCAATTTTAAGGTACCATGTTAATGACTTTAACGATCCCTCCTCATCTGGATCATGATGAAACTTGCATCTTGAGTTGAGCTCTGATCAGCTGGAATGATTTTGCTATAGAAAACCAAATAACTCTTAAAAATATATTATAATACCATTAGAAAATTTCCATATAAAAGACTGTTCTCATGGGGAATAAAAATGTGTAGCAATTTAACTTATTTTATATTTTGTTCTCTTTGAGGATCTGATCAAGGACATAGAGGACGTGCTGCAGATGACTGCTCAGAACAAGATGCAAGCAGTGGAGGATAAAGCTGCTGCTTAGACAGCTGCTTCACCAATAAACTTATTCTCGCCGAGTTAAGTCATCATGTCTATGCCAGCTTTAATTTCTAGTCACACAATGAACACATGAACCGTGGAAATGAATCAGTGTTGATCAAACACAGAAATCTGAATAAATTCCTGTAATAACATTGTCAGAATCTGTCATGATCCTTTATAATAAATGGCTTCTTAATCTGTTTTAACTGCATGAATATTATTACATATTGGAAAATGACAACTATTGAAGACATACAGTAAACTATGCACAAGGTAATTCCACTTGGGAATCAGTAGGCTTTATGTATGAAATTATTAAGTATTCATGCGTTCAAATTACATAAAACTGTTTTATTTTTTGTTGGAAACTACAGATTGAACGTGTTTAAACTACAACATGTAGTGTATTTACACTACATAGTATCTTGACTTTGTGCCCACAAGTATTTCTAGTGCTACGTAGATGAGTATACTGAGTACATTGTTTAGTGAGATGTTCCCTACTGGATTGTCTCTGTAAACCTGTGTCCACATGTTACAGTTGATGAGAAAGTGACTGATGTTGGCTGTAAGGTGATGGCCAAAGGACTTTTTCTGTAAGTTAACAATATTTATTATTTTATCACAGAAATTTTATGAAATTATGTGCTAACTTGCAAATGTTGTAGGCTGTTTATTACTATTACTTATTGTGATTTGTGAATTTGATTTTTTTTTTTTTATTCCATGTTTTACATTTAAGTAGTAGTGCAGATTAACCACTAATGTCAAGATTGCAGATGGATTATTTGCAATAAATACACACATTTGCATCAGGGATATATGTGTTTTTATTTATTTCATCCAGGTATCAGGTGGCATAGTTTAGTTGATCTAGAAGGCTAAATGCAGCCTGGGTCTTCTCCTGCATTACTACATCCAGACAAAGGGACACAACTTCAAAAGGCTTTTCTACAGGTAATAATTAATGTCATGTATTGTTCTTCATAGTCATATTGTTTTCAGGAGTTAGTTGTAAATTGTAAACGTCTGCAAGGCTGTAATTTGCTTTCAGATTAGTTGAATTTATGAATGTTGGCATTCACACACATTTTGCTGTGCTCTGTATTCAGCTGGTTTGAAGAGATCAAACATAGCTGATATCTCACAAACCACCCAGATTTCTACATATACAATATATATGTGTTTCTTTTTATCTGAAAGCCCATAATATGTACTGCTTGACTTTATGTGTTTGCTTTATGTCGCCCACTATCTGTATTACATCTGGCTGTTCAGGAGAAAGTTTGGTGTAGCTGTGGCGTTTGTGGACTGCTGTCCATGGTGCTGATCCCCTGCAGACTACTGTACAATAATTAGAAATATTTCAACATAACATTGTCTTTTTGTGGACTATTTTGTACTTAAAGGAGGAGGCTGCCGGTCAGGAGCCCAACAAAAACTCTTATTACCACTGGAGTCAGTGGTAATAAAAATTGCAATGGGTTTATTTGAAGCAACTGTTGTAATCAAGTTCATCATACTTACAATATTTCAATAAGTATGGTAAATATAAAAAGAAGGGGAGGGGAGTATTTTCTCCAGCATGTAATTCATTACATAAACACATATTGAAGTGGTGTGAAGTTTTTCTAAATTGATAAACTAAAGAAGCTGATTCTGATTTTAACCTTTGTTGTTTCATAGGCTGGCCTGGTGTGAGAATAGTGTGAGATGAATGGTCACACAGGACACATGAGTAACATCCGGTGAACAGGTGAGCAATTAAAAATAAAATGCAAGTAGTAGTCGGTGGTTCTGTTGAGGAGGAACGACTGTGCAGCGCTATGTTTCCAGTCGGAAGACTTTAGCAGGAGTACCAGGTCAGAGCTAACACCGTAGAATGAAAGCTAACGCGCAAGGAGAGCTTCTCTCTACACAGGTCTCTGAACTGGTTAAGAATAAATTGAGTGTATGTGTTCAGCATGTGTATCCGGACATGTGGCTCTGTGTAGCGGATTATATTCAGCAGAATCACTGTTTAGCTCACAAACAGAGACTGTCCTGTTTGCTAGCATTGGCTCACATTAGCTGCTCATGTAACTTGTCCTGTGTGCAGCGCTGCTTTGAAGGACGTGTAGATACAGCATGTTTGCTTTTGTGCATCAGCTGGTTTAAAAACGTTGGTACATTTCATCTATGTCCAGTCAGAGCTCTGTCTGTGAGTAATTTTCATGCAGTCCAGCTGCTAAAACATAAATAGCAGCAGGTGAATCACTCACAAGTCATGAAGGAGGTTTTAAGGAAGGTGCACAGCATCTTTTTAAAGATCGTCCTGTTACCGAGCACACTTGGTAGGACAGGCCCTCGGCCGGCTGCCTCAGAGGTGTTGACCTGCCACCTGCTGCAGCGGAAACTCCCACCGTGGACCTCATACTGTGTCCGCTACAGCTCCGTTCACAATGACCAGTTTGGACTGTCAAACTTTAACTGGAGTGTCCAGGGATCCAACTATCAGATACTGAGGACAGGCTGCTTCCCCTTTATAAAGTATCACTGTACCAAAGCGCCGCCACAGAACCTGGACTTTGAGGACAAGTTTTTCACCATGTTGAAAGCTCTTAATCTGGGTCAGTAGATACATTTAATGCTCTAACTTATTGCTATGAAATACAGATTATATTTTATTTAGAAACACTACAGATACTACTTAACCACTGTGTCCTTTTGTTGCAGGCATCCCATGTTTGGCCTACGGCATTGGTTGCTGGATGGTGGTGGGAGCTCAGGAAACAGTGCAGACAAGTGCTGGACCTGTCACCGTCTATTTCGCCTACAAAGAAGACGAAGGCGCACAGCACTAAACTGAACAAAGCACTATTTTTATTTTGAGAGTGTTTTCAAGAGACTCATCTCGTCCAAGCTGCTGTATTTATAAGTGATGTTCAGGTGGACCTACTGACACAAGTGTCATCTTGTGTCACCGGCGCTCCTGTTGTCTGACTGCACAGGTTCATTTGTGTTTAATAATTTAAGGTTTAAAAGTTGCAGCGCAGGAGTCAGTTATGCATGTTATTACACTGACATACAATACTGACAGTGTTTGTTCGGAAAGCTAACTTTCCATTAAAGATTAATGGAAAGTTTAGGATTTCTCGAAGAATAGACTGTTTGACACAGCGTCTTTTCCTGGATGTTTTCATGGTGATGTTGAGGAACATCTTCAGTGCATGTGTCCTCAGAGTCAGTACACTGTAAAAGTATATTTTTGCAACAGATATTAAAGTGTATGAAATGACAGATGTTTAGACTGTAGTGTTTTTGTCTTTTTTAAAGATATTTTTTGGGCATTTTTAAGCCTTTAATTGATAGGACAGACAAGTGTGAAAGGGGGAGAGGGGGAGAGAGAGGGAGTGACATGCAGCAAAGGGCCACAGGCTGGATTCGAACCTGGGCCCCTGCGGCAGTAGCCTTGTACATGGGGCGCCTGCTCTACCACCAAGCCACCGACGCCCCTGACTGTAGTGGTTTTTAACGCTATCTGTGTGTGTCATAAGGGTCAGCCAGCTTCTCAAGATGGAAAAAAAGTGATGACAAACAAGATAGCTTTTCATTTAAAGCCCAAGTCTTACGAATTATTAATAATTCATATGAGTGATACCAAGTGGCATTATTTATTTGACACTGCCATGACTTCTACTTCATTCTGTGTGACAAATACAGGAATTTAAATAACCCTGGCTCATTTATTTAAAGGTAAATTAGTGATCACTCTCCATGCAACAGATAGTCAATAGTGTTAGAGGAAAAACCAGTGACAAGACAGGTCTGATAAAATAGGTTTTAATTACCAAAGTGTGGCCTTTGTATAGAGACAGCTACATCCCTTCCTTCAGGCCTCCACTGGCCTTTGATTTCTGGTAATGTGCTTTGCTGACAGAGCACACTTACCCATGCTGCAGAGTACTGCTCCCTCGGAGAGGCAGGTTGACAAACTGCCATATTGATTTCCTCACTCCTCAGCATCTCCTACTAATAGCATTTATCAGCGACCTCAATTTTCTGGCCTTGGCCTCTTCATTTTTAGCAACAATGAAACCGAAGGAATCATTTCTTGTCGTACATGTACATCAATGCACCCTTTGACCTTATTTGCACTTGAAGGCTACAATATCGGCCTACATGTTGTTCAAGATGTACCACCTCTTCTTGAGTGTCCTGTTTTGTAAATATGCTTATCCTGTGCAAGAACGTTTAACAGGGTGATTAAATTTAATATAAATATATATCAATAATTGTTCCTTCCTCATGCTTTTAAGGAAGGAATCAGCAAAGGTGTAGGTTTTAGGAGGGAGGCAGACCAATATTTAGAACATGTGCATTTGTCTGAGTAGCAAAGGCTATTTATTTTGACGAAATTAAAGACATTTACACCATAAATTGATGCAGAAAATGCACAAGAATGCACAATATTCAGTGTTTGATGCTCTGGCGGAGGACCCCCAAACATCCAGATTCATATGCACCCCCCTAATGTTAAATTGAAACCTACACCCATGGGAATCTGCATTCATTTGTAGGCCTAACCAGCACTTACACTAGCACCACCATTGCCTCTTTTACACCAAGAAAGAAAAAAGAAAACTCTTTCCTTTGCTGAAGCAAGCACACTAATTACTGGATGAGAAATTAAACAGATATTTAAAGTCCCTGGATGTACAGTAATTTGCATTTTTCTAAGCAATGTAACCTTCGTTGTGTAAATAAATGTCCAAACCTCATGCAGAATTCATACACAAAATCCTCTTAAACAGCGTGATGACACCACACTATCTCTTAATCATACTAATTGCCTTGAACACGGAACATTTAGACACACTTATGGAAATCTGATCCATAGTATCAGGCTGCACTTAAATCCCCCTCCTTTCATTTCCAGCCTTTCATCAGGACTGAAAGTGTGCATGGGGAATGCTCAGGCAACCATGTCTTAATTACTCATTGACCCTTTGACCTACGAGCTGCATTGATACCGCCGTACGGCCAGACACAATTGCATGGGGTTGCAACTCACTGCAGCTTTGTGTGCGGCTATTACAGGATGATGTGAGTCAGTGAAATCTAAACTGTGGAGCATGTGAGTACATTGTATTCGTTTTCAGGGCTTCACCTTTGAGTCACTCTAAACTGCAGGGGAGGGCACCCCTTCAGCTCTGGCGGAGGCTTAGCGTTACACATCGAACCTCTGTCACCGCCAGTTCAGGTTTAGGGTATCTGGACTGCAAATGAGCTGCTGTAAATTAAGAAAATATATCAGCATTTGGTGCGAGATTGATGCCTTTTAATAGCTGTGGTAGTCTAGTCCTGTATTGAAGTGTCTAAATTACCCAACACACATCTAATGTGGTAATGAACAAAGAATTAATGCCTGTTTGGCAAGTTTAATTGCATGCTGAAGCTGGTAATAAGTTTTGTCAAGGTGAAATCTTTAAATACTTGTACTGTTTAGAATTTAGGTAAGTAAAGCAAAACAAGTGCTGAAATGGAGTGTAGTGTTGCTGTAAATTGTTAATGTTCAACAGTGAAATTGCTAATCAACTTGCAGAGACTTGTAATTATCTTCTAATTAGCTAATAAGTTCTCAGTTTCTTCAGTGCAAAAAAAAAAAAAGAAAAAAAAATAGCACAAACCATGTTCATCTTCTTGAAATAGTTGATGCGGCCAATTCTTAAATCAATTATTTAGCAGGAAAGTCACAGCAGTTTTTTTTCCTCTGTCATATAGATATATAGCTTGGCAGAAACAATTATTGTGTGAACAACCCCTGCAGCTAATACTGGCGAGGTTATCATTATTAAGCCTCTGGATCGGCCACCAGCGCCGTGGAAGCGCTTGCTCCACGAGCAGCAGGGGTACCGGAGCCATCACTCAGATCACTTTAAGGATCACACTGGAATTACATCTCAATGCAGAGGTGTCAGCCAACGTTGTCACAATATTCTCTGAGAAATGGCACTTTTTGAATTACAATGTGACAACAGAAACATGAAGCTCATTACTTTTCAGCTAGAAGCATCTCCAGGTGCAGACATATGTACACTTTGATCAGCTTTAAAAGGTAATTCTTACTTAAAGAAGTATTTTACCACTGGAAAGATGGTCTTTTCATAAACCGGGGAATCTGTGCAGTAGAGGGATGCAAATACTTTTGATATTGGGGCTATATGACCAGAAAAAAAAAAAAACAGGAAAAAAAGGGATGTGGCATTTGCTTTTGCTCAAGACGTAGAAAACCTGCAACTACCAGAATGCACTGCGCCACACCGGACCAATAAATGCTCCCAACATAATGCAAGTTTGGCTGTTTTTCCACAGGAAACAATATGGTGGCCAGCTGGGGCCTGTATCACGACGTGAGATCAACCTTTCCTGGGTTACCCAGACCTATCCTGGGTTGACTAACCCTAACAATGGCAATCAAGATAATCGGTATCACGACGCTGGATATCAACTCGGTAACTCAACCCAGGGTTGCTTTATCAAGAGCTGTGAACACGCACGCAGTGGACAAATCACAATCATGAGAGAAGCGCAGCGTCACTGAGCGTCCTCACAGAGCGCCCTATGTGTGGAGAAAAAAAGTATGTGAGTATCAGAGATTAATTCTACTAAAATATGAGGAAGAGAAAAACAACATTACAGAAAAGGCCAACACCGTGGTGGCTGCAGGAGGAGGAAACATGCGTGACAACGCATAACAGGATGAATAATGTTTAGTTTTAGTTTAGATTAGTTTATTTGCACATAATGTTAAAAATAAAATTTACAAGAATAAAAAAAGAAAAGTACTGGAGAGGTTAGAAGCCACTAAAAGCTTATCAAAGAAATTCCCCTGTCAAAACATCAATGAAATCACATAGCCTAATAGAGAAGAAAAAAAAACGGGTGAGGAAAGAAGAAAGAGAGGAGGAGAGAGGGAAAAATCAAGACTAAATAAGGTAGCAAATAAAATGATGTGTAGGTTAAATTACTCATCACTGGTTCAAGTATCTACAGTACCTGTACCTGTACATCTGACACTGATCACACCCTTGAATCCCATGAAATCAATGCTGCGCAGATGAATTGCGTGTATTACAATTATCGTCTAACATCATTGCGTCTGATAAATTGGTCTTCTTTGTCATAACGTTATATATGCTACAATAAAGCTTAAAGCTGACGCCACAATTAAATCATATCAACACCAAACTGATAGTCTGAATAAAATCATCCTGATATTGAGCTGTGTTAGAAATTAACAGCTGCGCAAAAATGTACCTAGTCTCCCTCTTTAAAAAACAAAAAGGAAAATCCCTCAAACACCATGAAGTGTAGACATGATAGGCTACTTTCCACATTTCCAGCAGCAAAGCTGTCAATTAGGCCCATTATCTTTAACAGGGATCATTTCCTCCAACAACAAAAAAATGTTGGCACTAATTAATGGTGCTATTAAGTGTCCACAAATGATCAGTTTCTTTCTTATGAAGGGGTGGGATGAAATTTCGACTTCTTTCCACTCCTTTTTGAACAATCTTTTCATTGTCTGTTGTTGTTGCTTTCTTTTCTTTTTTAATGTTCAAAATACACTTTCAAATCAAAATCAATCAAAATAATTAAACTTCCCATCATGACTGGGCTGCATTTCTGTCAGCGGAGTCTTTTTTTTCCGAACAGCTGATTGGCCAGTGGGTGGTGCTTTTTATAGGATCAAATTCAACCCTGAACTTACCCTGCTCCGGAGCAGGATAGCCGTTCAGATTAAGTTACCATGGTGATCTACCCCGATAAGAACTGAACCGGCTTCGTGAGACCGAAAACCCAGGGTTAACCCTGAAATTACCTCGCTAAGACATTAATCCTGCTTCGTGATACAGGCCCCTGGTAACAAGCGAACATGAATAACAGTTAAACAATAAACAAATATATGTTTCTGAAAACAACTGAGGCAAGAAATAGGCAACACAGTGACAGAATCTTGATTTATATTCAAACAATTGCTTTGTTTCAATTTAAGATCAGAGTTTTTTTCTGCCTCTGTTTTTACAGTACAGGAAACAATGTGGCACCCACATCATGTTCACAAACTCTCATATTACAGCCAAACAGTGCACTAAAATATGTTTCTGAAGACATATAGGGCAATAAATAGGCAGTGCAATAAAAGAACCTTGGTTCATATTTGATCAGTGCTGCTTTGTTTTATTGTTTGATCTCAGTTTTTTCAGCCTCTGTTTTTATAGTACAGGAAACAGTAT